ATATGTAAAAAATTAACATCTTCATGAGCATATATATAAAGATAATAGATAAGAAAACCCAATCAAGAGATAATAAAATTTCTTACATGAGTTTACATAATACTTTTTAAATATATTACCTTACATAATAACATTTCAAGACATAAAATGATTAAGATTGAAAAGGTCAATCTTTAATCTGTTCCTACAAAATAAGATAGAGAAAAGAAATTCGACAGTATTTTACAACAAAATTGAAGATATGTACACTCTTGAGCTATATAATGCCTATAAATTCTGTGCGTATAAAACTTGATTCTTATAATCTGTTTAAATGGAAGTGCATATGTCATGCTGATTGTTCCTGACTCTGTACATGGCAGTGTATTCACAATAGACTGAATTATTTCCAACCATTATAAAATTTCTGCTATATTTACTTTATTAACAATAACAAGTTATAAAAATATAATTGATTATATAACATGTTTAATAATTATTAAACATGTTATTAGTAACAAGGATCCTCATACCATACCATTCCATTTCATCGAAATAGAAATATATTAATGTAGAACATATATCTATATTAATATAAATCTGTAAATATCTATATTAATATAGATTATATAATAGGATTTGCCATATAAAATGTAATTATTGTGGTTATTCATTCTCGTTTGGGAAAAAGAAGTGCGGCATATGATATATTCAATTATTTTCTAATATTACATTTATTTTGTACTTCTTTTCCTCAAACAAGAGTAATTAACATGCGCATAATGTGTAAAACAGAATTCGAAAGAGCAAAAATATAATGATGGAATTTGTACTGTGATCGGGTTTTCCATCTTGAACATACATAAGTAAAAATATGTGACAAAATCATGAAAATTCATAATCGAAATTATCGACAATCGTCATTTTACATTGACGTATTCTCTAAATGAACATTTGCAACCAAAAACCAAACTAAAAATCATATCTAACTATTTTGTATCCAAGATTTCATTTCTAGCTTGTGACATCACGTCAAGAGCATTTTTCTCTATAAGATTCTTGGCTAAATCTTTACCAAGTAGCTCTGCACCGAGAAGACTTATACTGTTTACTTTACCAGGAGTAACGCTGCAGTAAAGGCGGGGTTCTTGATACGGACATTTCCTGTCGTGAGAAAAAAACCTAAGTCAAATTTGATGTAGAATAAATCAAATCTATGTTAAAAATATTCGTTATTGTGATGGAACATCAGTATCAACATCTTTCGACTAAAATTTAAAAATTATGTTTAACTCACCGCGGAGGTTCACCGTCGTCATCAGGTAAATACAATTTACTTTTCGAAGTATTTGTAACTAAGGTTTGACCATCCAACGACCAAACAGCACCAGTAATTGTTAACTCCTCCTCTTTTAAGGATGAAGATACTGCAACTGGTGCGGAACATCCGCCACCAAGAGTCTTTAAAAAGGAGCGTTCACATACGCATCTTAACGTAGTTTCTACATCAAACAGTGGTTCCAACAAAGAACGTATTTTGCAATCTGATTCTCGGCATTCAACGCCTAATGCACCTTGACCGATGGCATAGAGAGCTTCCTCAGGCTCTAGAAGCTGGAAAGAAGAAAGTATATTAATGCAGATAAATTTAACAGAAATATCAGCAGATTTAAAAAAGGAATCATACTTGACTTATTCTGTCTTCCCAGCCCATTCTTTTTAAACCAGCGGCAGCTAATATTATAGCGGCATAGGGGCCTTTTTCATCGTCTAATTTTTTTAACCTAGTGTTCAAATTTCCACGAATACTTTCTATCTTTAAGTGAGGCATGTTCCGCGCTAGCTGCGCAGATCTACGTAAAGAGCTGGTACCTATGACACTACCTTTTGGCAAAGAAGATAATGTTTCACCTTCGAATTTCTTTGACATAACAACTGCATCACGCGGATCCTCACGTCTGCAAAAAAATACATTATTGATATAAATATTAATATTCCATTTATTATGCAATCCAGTTTTGTCTATAGAATACTTTATGAGGAATTTAAATTAATTTTTTTACAAATATAAAATTTATTTGCGAATAATCTATAATATTTTAATGTCATTTTAAATATCAATTAGAATTGACAATTTCGAAATGTTGAGATTGCAATAACTTTTCAAGCAATTAAAATCAATCCTTAATATTGTGCAATATTACAAGCTAATATGATTCAGGAGACACATTTATAAGGACAGTAAATCTTACTTTCATGAGTATGATAATATATTTACTCAGTTGAATTTAAAATAGGTGTCTATAAATCATTGGACAAAACAGGATATAAGATAAATGAGTCAGCTCTTGTTTATAAGAAATATTTAAATTTTGTTATGACTTAAAAAATAAAAAAAAAATGTCCTTAATATTTCAAAATTCAAAACTACATTCAAGATAACTTACTTTAATATCGCACCTAAAGCCATTCCTTTGGGCAATGTTGTTGGTAAATCTTTTAACGAATGCACCACAAAATCAACAGTACCCTTTTCTAAAGCTAGTTCCAACTCTTCAGTAAACAGAGACTTTTCTCCGATCTTTGGTAAAGATTTGTCCAGAATCTTATCCCCCTTGGTATGCATTGTTACTACAATTTGATTTCAAATTAGATACAAAGAATGTAATTTACAAACTTTTATATGCTAAATCTTATATGCTTATATGCTGGAGTTTTATACATGTGTAAATATCTTTTATGTAAATATGTGCAAAGTGTAATATGCACAAATACAAATTAAAGAAGCACTAGTCACAAGCGCTTCATATATATATATATATATATATATATATATATATATATTATGTAACAGTATAAAAAACACAAAAAAGATCATTGATTATGATATTAAGAAATTGATATCAATATTAAACACAGATTTTTTAATGAGTCAAATTAATTAAAGTTACCTATGGCAAATAATTAAAACAACAACATAATGTGCTATTACATTAGTACGCATACTTGCTTACCTATTTCGAATTCTTTTTTGGGATGAATGTCTTTTAGGCATTGTATCACATGCTTAGTTTGTATCAAGGCCAACTAAAAAAAAATCAAAAGCCTGCATTATTCATCTTTAAAATGACGCTAAGAATTGTGACATAAACTAAGCGTCTATACAACGTACAGAATGATTTAATTTAGCTAACAAATAATCTAAAAAATTGATCTAAAAAAATACAATGTAATATGTATTTCTTAAATTTAAAAATTGATCTAAAAAAATACAATGTAATAATATATAATATTCCTTTAATCAAAGAAATTAAATACGAATCATCGTGAATTGTCGTTAAAGCTCAAAAAACGCTGAGTAATCTCATCAATGATATGCGCACCGACAAGAAGTCACAAAATGACATGTGAAATTAATTACTTTGTTTATGATAGACGACTTACAACCTGAAAAATTAATGGAGGGCCATATGTAATGTATTTATCAGATAATTGCATAATTATCTGATTTTAAAACAGAATCTTCTAGAATAGGAGACACGTTAAAGTCGATGTTATCGCATGACTCGCCGAAAAAAATCCAGAGTGAGTATTACAAATTGACGCAATACTCGGTCCATTTACAGATTTCCTGTTCGTAAAGCATTCTGGTGAGGTGAAAGCCGTTTACAAAATATTTACCTCGCTTTTTCGCGATCCAACGTGGATTACGTCACATTTCTCCGTGCCGTTCATCGCCGCCCTTTGAATACTCGGTATAATTTAGCGTAAAATTCACGGGTAAAAGACAGACAGAGGGATTCTTTTTGGAATGTGTCAAATACAAAACATAATTATGAAACGATCGGAGGGATTGGGTGGAGGACACATGGACACTTTCACCAAGAAACTGCACTCATTTCCAATGACTACGTATCTTCGATAAAGCAGAATAGGAACGTAATAAGATAATTTGTGTTAGGTTACGTTTCACAGTCACTGGCACTGCAGCAGAATGTGAAATTAATGAATGAAATTTGGAAGAATTATGATAAGCTACAGACAAGCCATGCTGGAGTTTCGCAAAGCGACTGACGAGCGAGCAGTGTGACCAGATTTGAGACAACGATGCCAGAAATGTGCTGTCCTCTACACCATTCTGCACGAGAAACAGATGATAACAATATTTCGAATAAGGATTCTCGAGTAAGTTTGAATACTGAACTACAGATGGCATTACTTGTTTTATTTATTAAAAAATTTGAAATATAGCATCAGTTAATTAATGTTTGTATAAAATATATATTGTCCATTTTTAATTTATACTTGTAATGAAGAGCTACCATAGTTGAAATATATATATGCGGCAATTTCAAGAGGTTCAAAGTAAAAATGTAAATAGTTTTGGAAGGTCACAATTATTTAATATACATATATATGTATACTATTTGATATATAATGCATACAATTTTTAGAGTAATTGTTTTTTATAATTTTTTTTTATTTATTATTTCACAAAAGTAAAATATCTAGAAAATTATAAAAAACAATTACTCTAAAAATTGTATGTATTATATATCAAATAGTATACATATATATGTAGTAAGTATATATCAAATAGTATATGTATACTATTTGATGTAAAATACATACAATTTTTAGAGTAATTGTTTTTTATAATTTTCTAGATATTTTACTTTTGTGAAATAATTATTAAAACAAACATAAGCACACCCAATTTTGGATTACAAGTGTATGATATTTATGACAGATCAATATTGTCAGAAATTTTTGCGCATAAAATTTATTTTTCTCTTAAAAAATTTTCTATTAAATGTACCTTGAATCCATCCTTTTCTATCCAAAATAATTATTTTAATAATTATCACAGTGCTTGATTTTCAAGAGAGATATTTTGTCTTTTGAGACTCTCATTATACGACAATATTGATCTGTCATAAATACAGCAGTACATCCCATACAGCACAAAACATCCTCAGGATATCCTCAGGACATCGAGGATTTCGGTGTCCTAAGGATATGTAGGATATTTTGTGCTGTATGGGATGTACTGCTGTATTTATGACAGATCAATATTGTCGTATAAGAGTCTCAAAATACAAAATATCCCTCTTGAAAATTAAGCACTGATAACTATTAAAATAATTATTTTGGATAGAAAAAGATGGATTCAAGGTACATTTAATACAAAATTTTTTAAGAAAAAAAATTTTATACGCAAAAATTTCTGACAATATTGATCTGTCATAAATATCATACACTTGTAATCCAAAATTTATTAATTATTATTAAAGTAATAAAACATTGTGAAAAAAAATTTTAGATTACGTGTCTAATTGTTAGATTACATGTCTAATTGTAAGATAAATTATAACATTCTACTTCGCTATCAGAAAATTCTGAATCATCATCGTAGTCGTTCAAAGCCGGAATAGGTTTTCCTTCGCGTTTCAGTTTGGCATAATGATCACTGATGAGTTTTTCTAATACATAAACTGAAAAAAAAATTGAATTAGAAAGAAGAAATAAATAACATCTCATTCTTGCTTATTTTATCAATGTAGTGCTAATGTTCTTTAGCTACTTTACAATAATGTATGTTCATATGTATGTATGTTCATTACGCACTTATTATATGATGCAAAATATCTGTGCAGTAATACATAATAACATCATTAAAAGTTATAGAAGCCCTTTAGTTAGTTGTAAGTCTAATTGCAAGAGAAATTCCAAAGGAAACAATAAAGGAATACTACTACTATTACATAAAGAAAGAGATAATTACCTTGATTTTCAAGAAAAATGTTTTGTCTCTTAAGATCCTCATTATACTGCCGTCGGGTTAGGTTACTCTGCCGTAGTTTTCGAATAAACTTTATTGATTCCCTTAGGATATGAGCTCTACTTGCAACTTTTTCTGCTGCCAGTTTTGGTATGGTGTCCCTGAGCTTTATAAACTTGTCTTTGATGTGATCTCTTCGTTTTCTTTCCAAAGCATTGTGATGTGCCCTTTTCTCCGCCTAATATTATATAGAATATTCGAAAATAAGTACATTTTTTATTTCTAGAATAAAAGAAATAAATCATAACCAATAAAGCTAAACAATTTAATAATTTTTAATAGTTATTATATTATTAGTATAATAGTAACTCGTAAAAACTGTGTTGAAAAATGGAGAAACAATTTTTTATCAGCTATGTTCCTGTAATAAAAACTTTACACACACACAAAATACAAAATTATAACAAATTTAACAAAATATATTTATAAATCACATTAAATTTGTCAGTTTAAAATATCGTCAAGCATTATTAATACCTTTCGTCTATTCATTTTTGCGTAGCTTTCTAATCAGACAATGGGCTTGTTCGTTTTAGCTGCACTGGGGCAGCTCTGGGTCTGCTCTAAACAAGATAATACAGGACAAACTATTTATCTGTCCTGTATTATCCTGTGTAGAGCAGAACCAGAGCAGCCCCAGTGTAGCTAAAACGAACAAGCCCACAGTGTACTACCAATAGGTCTGTTCTTTATAGCTGAACTGGCTGTACTAGTTCAGAGTTTATCTTTTTCCCTCCACATTGGAAGGAGAAAGATAAACTCTGAACTAGTGCAGCCAGTTCAGCTATAAAAAACAGACCTAATGTCTACCGTCTATTGTCCACAGTACGTTACTTATAATATTAAAATTTAAGGATTTCTGGTTATATTTTTTATATTTCTGAATATTAATTATAATAAATTTAAAATTGAAAAATGTATTATCAAACTAAAAAGACATTTTACAAAATGTAGTATACAACAAAAAAAAAGTTATGAAACGTTTTATGGATATGTTAACACTCAAAATATTAACGAAAAAATATTAACAAAATATTAACCTTAATGGAAAGTTCGGCGTAAGTCACTGGTCGCACAAAAAACTTATTTACGCGGCAAAAATGTAAATAATTGTCTTACGTGTACATGACCTTGCAAATTGTAGCAAACTTTTTTTTATTTTGAAGCATACGGATGGCTAACGTTCAAAATACGAGGTTAAGTACACCTAACATTGCAATACACATATCAAACACGAAGAAAAAATTTTGTGATAGAAGCTTGCTTCAATACGACTTATGGATCTAATTATCAGCGACAAAGAAAATTCTAAGCTACGAAAGAACATACCTGAGAATGGTATTGCGTGCTATTAAAATGACTCAAAGTCGAATCTGAATCATAGCTATCCTGCAAAAAAAATGCTCGATCAGAAAATTTCACGGAATCGTACGATTTACGTCACTTACTATTACTTACATCGCTTTCGATGTCAATATCACGATCATCATCACTCATTGTGCAGAACAAGACCGACAATACAATAATTTGTAACAAAGAAGAGTTCGCCTCAAATTCAGCCGAAACAGTCAATTAACGTGCTCGAAGAGAACTGGATAGAGTAAAAGGCAGTATTGCTAGACGAACCGCTTTTTTCCACGCATACCAACGCATACGCGGCGCAGCAGTTATGAATCCAGGCTGCGTTCCGAAATACCGCACTGCCAGTATTGAAAATCTACAATATATGTTACGTAAACTATAGATTTTCAGTACTGGCAGTGAATTTCGGAACACAGCCACAATCGATCCTCAGGAAGATTCCTATAGATTTGTTCGCGTCGCATGCTCCAATATGCTCCTACTCGCTCCAATACGTTCTAATCTATAGTACTACGTTACGTAAACTATAGATTGGAGCGTATTGAAGCGAATAGGAGCATGTTGGTGCTTGCGACGCGCACAAACCTAAGGCTGAATTCCATCATTTGCCGCGCGAATAAAATGGGATGTTTTGATTGGTTAATTCGTGACGCGACGGATAACGCCGACGCGTGACGCGCTTAGTGGAAATTCGGCCTGAGGAAAAGTCTTTGTCTATTATCTATAGTAAACGCTTCGTATACTATAGATTATAAATAGAGCTTGCACTATGGGTGTAGTTTCTGAACGCACCCCAGGATCAGTAGAAAGTGAACACATGTGTTAACCTGGAACAAATGCGTGACGTTAATTATAACAACATTAAACAATATGAATGAAGAAATAAAAAGTTTTTCGGATCTAAAACTAAACTCTTGGCTCCTTACACAATGCGAATCTATGGGTAAATAGAATTTTTAGAAATATAATTGAAGGCACTTACTATTACAAATTAAAAATATTTGTTTAGTATTTGAGATGTTAAGCCAATTTTAAAATACAGTATATTATTAATCATATTACTTTTTTTAGGTTTAAAAAAGCCCACTATGATTCAGCAAAATTGTATTCCTCACATATTAGCAGGTGAAGATTGTATAGGCTGTGCCAAAACAGGTAGTGGCAAGACTCTTGCATTTGCTCTGCCTATTTTGCAAAAATTATGCGAGGATCCATATGGTATATTTGCTCTTGTGTTAACACCAACAAGAGAATTAGCTTTTCAGGTAAAATAAAGAATATTTTATTTTTATTTTTGATTGCATTTCATACAAATTACCTAGTATTTAATAAAATGTACATACTTGTATACATCATCAACTGGTTCAAATTTTGTTATATTGACATTATTTTAGATTGCTGACCAATTTGCCGCAATTGGTAAAGCTATCAATTTGAAGAAATGTGTAATTGTTGGTGGCATGGATATGATGGTGCAAGGATTGGAATTGTCTAAACGGCCACATATAGTTGTGGCTACACCAGGTAGATTAGTGGATCATTTGGACAGTTGTGATACATTTTCCTTGCAGAAGATTAAATTTCTAGTATTGGATGAGGCTGATAGACTGCTGGGTGGTCATTTTGATGAACAACTTAAAAACATATTTGCTGCAGTACCCAAACAGAAACAAGTATTATTATTTAGTGCCACAATGACAGATGCTCTTGATAAAGTAAAACAAATAGCTTCCAGTAAGGTATATTTTGACAATATGACTATATTATATTAAATTATATGCAACATGATGTAAAAATCACAATTTTAATTTTAGGTTTTTATATGGGAAGAAGAGGATGATGCTGGTATTGCTACTGTAAGGGAATTAGATCAACGTTATGTGTTATGTCCTAAAGATGTGCTTGATTCATTTCTGGTAGAAGTGATTAGGACATTTCGTGCCACAAATAAGAATGGCTCCATCATGATATTCACAGATACTTGCAAGTATGACAATTGTTTTCTTCATAATAAAAAAATTCCAAAAGTAGTATTTACATATTCCAATCTAATATGTGACATATATGCGTACATTATCTATGACAACTCTATCATATATTTATGTATTTGTAAATTATATATTTAGGCATTGTCAACTATTATCAATGACGCTGAATGACGTTGGATTTACGAACGTGGCCCTTCATGCGATGATAAAACAGAAGGAACGCTTGGCCGCGCTAAACAAGTTCAAGTCCAATTATGTACAGATTTTGATTGCTACCGATGTCGCGGCGAGAGGCTTAGACATTCCCACAGTAGAACTGGTCGTTAACCACATAATACCGAATGTACCGAAAGAATACATTCATAGAGTTGGCAGGACAGCTCGCGCAGGTAGAGGTGGTATGGCAGTTAGCCTCATAACTCCGAATGATATCAAATTATTACACGCGATTGAAGACACAATAGGTACTAAATTAACAGAATACAAAGTAGACGGTGAGTATATATTTTATCTCGATCTTTCTAGTTTGAAAATTACAACAGATTAATCATTTTTTTAAATCCTAGACAAAGAAATTGTTACAATTTTGACACAAATATCGGTGGCGAAACGGGAAGCGGAAATTAGATTAGATGAGACTGATTTCTACGAAAAGAAAATGATTAATAAACGGAAAAAATTAATCTTGGAAGGCAAAGATCCGGATGAGATAGAGGAACTTCTAGAGGAACAGAAGAAAAAACGTAAAAAGCCAAAGAAAAGAAAAAACGCGGAACAAACAATTGATATAAAATGAAACTTTTAATGTACATATGTGATTTGAAATATATATATTAAAAATACTACATACAATTATAATAAGTCATTGTTGATTCCATTATATAGCCTATAAAAAAGATAAAAAAAATGTTTTACTATTATATTATATTAATCTTATGTGTGATAACTTACAATTCCATATTAAATAATTATAAATAATGATGCATTTTATCATATGCAATTCTTTTAAAACCAAGTGTACAATTTAAATTAATAAAAATTAACAATTTTTTGCTTTTAGATTATATATCTTTTTTTTTAATTATATATATAATATATAAATAAAATTATATATAATTTCCTTTTTTGATTGCCCTAATTGTATATAAGATTTTCAAAATTCTTTAAAATTTAGATCTATAAAATTATAACACTGATTGGTGTGTATATTATGTACTGTATATTACGTACATGTATAAATGTACACATACACGTATAAGTATAAATGTGTTGTTACAAATGTACGAAGTGTAATGTTAATAAGGGTTGTATTCCAGCAAAGGACACAAGTTGACACAAATCGACACAAGCATCACTCTGTTATTCAATGAGCAACAGAGAGAATAATACTTTTGTGTCGCTTGTGTCTCTTGGTGGAAAACTACCAAGATATAGTGATATAAAAAATACGATATATATTTACATACAAGATAATGCGCCTCTGTGATATTTAAAGACGTGCCTTGATTTTTTCTTCGTTTTGTATTAAATTTAATTTTTGCAAAAAGGCGTAGAGTTCGGCAACGTATTCCTTAGGATAAATATAATAGTGAGCAACGTGCGGCGACTTTTCGAATATTTTCACGTAAGTCTGCAAAATAAATGTTTTTTATGCAATTCTTTCAGAAACCTTCACTTTTAAGTAAACGCAAGTCTTACCTTTACTCCTAGAGATTCCCAAGTATCACGTAAATTCATATTGCTAGTTACCGTTCCAACGGGATCAGTTTTGCTTACAAAAAATAATGCTGGTACGCGTACGTTCGCTGTATAAAATACTTGACTAGAGCGAATATAGTACTGTGTTGATTGCTCATGGAACGTCTTCATATGATATCTAAAATGTAATTTTGTATTAATTAAAATTAATTGAATAAGTTATGTCTCAATTGTTTCACATCTAATTTTTCACTGTGTATCTTTCACTGTGCAATCTTTCACTGTGCAATCTTTCACTGTGTAATCTTTCAGTGTTACTTACTCTATGTATTTTCGCAACATAGATTGCAACATCATATTTTTGGGAAATACCGCGCGAGGAAAGCCTATCGGTATTTCAATAACATCAGCTATACTGTCCCACACTTGTCCAACAATTCTGTCTGTAATACTGCTATATTTCTCCTTGTCGCTTTGTATTAAATCTAAAGCCTCACCCCACATGTAACCGCCTACCGAAAATCCATGCAACAAAATTTGCTGATAATTTTCATTTTGTTTCAAAAAAGTTAATAAATCTGCTGCAACTAGCTGAAAATAAATTTTGAACTTTGCAATAAGTGCACTAAAAAAGTAGCCTGAAAAAATTCTATCGTACTTACTCTGGAGCCCTTTGCGGGCCACATAAGTTGCCAAGGTGCAAGAGACACTACAGCCACATCAAAACCTTGCTCCATGTACAAATTAACGAACTTCATAACATGTCGTCGCTTTGATAACAGCCAAGTAAGGATAACTAATAAAGGCCGATTGTTTACCACATTCACGTTACGCGCCACACTCTTGGATGATACATTGTCTTGTGTAAGAAATTCAATATTTTTTGAGACATGATGAGAAGATAACATACGCGCCATTTGTCCAATACCCTGAAATAATATATGAATGTAAGAAATTTTTGAATAGAATTGATACTCTGATGTTATCATATAACAAGTACAGATAAAAGCATACTTTACCAAGTACTGATTATGCTTTAATGGCTGTGATTGTGCATACCAATTAATTTGTCTCCCTGTGAAGGCACTACGCAAAACTCTAACGAACATTACGATAAGAAACTGTCTTTCTTATATATGCCTGACAACGAAATCAGTTGCTTTAATCAGCATCGAAAAATATATAAATAAATATTAATGCCTGTTATCAAACAACTTACTCAAAAAGAACTTGTCCGGCGAATAATTTAGATAACCACTATAGTGCATTTACCTAGCCCACTTCAGCGATTCCACCGACTTCACATAATGAGTAACACGTCACGATTGGCTTGCCGATTATTTCTCGTACATATAATTATCTCGTATCTCCTCCTTCTACTTTCCCTCTCTTCGAATACTACGAAAGTTCAAATTCCACTCGACCAGTTGATTAACATTTTTTGATCCAAGTCCAACCAAAAGTGCTTTTTACTGAAACGTAGCCATAATCAATGCGGCCATTCGTGTCAAGCGTGGTTGTATGATGTCTCATGCGTGATCATCAAAATTATATACATACCACTACACACAGCTGTCCCCACTTGGCGGGTCGCAAAGTAACAATATTAGCTCAATTGTTACTGAAAGAATTCACAAAGACTAAAGTTGAGTGACAATTCGTGGTGGTTAATCTTTATCAAGGAACGCTTAACAAAATTTTTATTAGACTGGCATAAGAATTTCGAAGTCAAGCCCGGTTAACATGAATATATACGGCTACTAGCTAGACCGGATTTATCCATTTTTTCTTAAGAGATGTGAATGCACTTCCGCGACTGCGCTCACGATTGCACGAACAAAATGATGAATAAGAGGGAGAACACGTAACATGTGTATTCTGTGTGTATATACAATAGTTCTTTTTTCAATGAAGATGATTTTTTACCTTTATATCATTAATCTATTTGTAAATGATAAATATCTATCTTTAGCTCTCTGATAGATCCATATATATCTATCTCTCTATATAGATAAAATAAGAATGTAATCAATCATAAAGACAAACAAAAATCAATTATAGATAATAGATTCTGCACTTGTCATTTTTCTCTCTTATTTTAAATAATACAAAAAAAATTACAAATTATAAATATTATAAAACACTGAAAAAAATAAATATCATAGAATATAAATTCTTATAAATGCATTTACATAGAAAGTACTGAATATCTGAAAACTCATTTCCTTGACATATATTTCTTTCGGATAATAAATAAAATGAAAAATATAGTTCTTTCATTTTCGATCGTTCTCGCGATAGGCTCTACTGTTAAAACAAATGAAAACGTTGAATTTACTTTTCACATCTGATATGGGCATGTGCCTCATTCTAATTCTTATCATTTGCAAATACAACTGTTTTACATATTTAAATTTTAACAACCAGGCAAATTATGCCAGAAAGAAGCCAGAAAGAAGCGTTTTTTATAATGGCACATGGCGTAATGTAAATAAAAACAATTGAAGATGATTGATTCGAATGCGTGCTTAAATGTAAGTCCAGTCGATACTATGCAATCTGCCAGCCAGTCCGTCACCCAACCGGCTGACCATTTATTAACGGTGGCAGCTTTTTCCAACGCTCGCCGCCGGCCACTAATCGCATGTCTGCGTTATTTAACGCGTGAACGGAGTCCTTGCGTGCGTCTCGCACTTTACGCCTGTCACTACATTCTCACACATGCTGTTTCCTCAACCATGTCAGCAATATTGAGTTGCAACATCTAGTAAACGGTCTTCAAGGTTCTGCATTGTCAATGATGTTGGCTTTAAAAATCGGTCGAAAAATTCTATACTGAAATCATTTTAAAAACGTATTTCTTACAGAGAACGCAATAAGCATTTAACATATATAAGTATTGAACTTACCTACTAATGATGCTATTGTTAAAGGCCTATGAAATAAATATTTAATTTGCTTTTTTAAAGCATCCTATATGTGACATATTAAAGACACTTTAAAAGAACGAATTAAATGTTCTCGTTTTTAAAAGTAATCATTCAATAAGTACAAAGGTACTGCCAAGTTACCAAATCTATCATTCAAAAATTTATTTGAAACGGAGATTTCAATTGTACTAGAAATATTATTCATTTTAATAATTAATTTCTTTTTACCGCCGAATTTATATTTTGTATACTCCTTTCCGATTTTAGCATAACAATTTACACACAATAAGGATTGAGGACAGAATACAGTACCGGTAAAAGTTTCTCGAGCACATAGCTAAGACCGCAATAAGTAGCATTAATAAACTCTCGACAGGGTTCAATTGATACGCTCGCGTGCAAAGAAGTGCGTCTACACAAAGGTAATGGCCAGCTGTTGCATTAAAATAACCGGCACGAATGGCGTCGATGCGTAGTGAATTTTAACATCAAAGCTAAGAAAGCAGACTTCGCCTTCGAGATTTACATTCGGAATGTCATTTAAACAAAATGATTCAACATATAAATTCAATGTAAAAAAATAATAATGACGTAATAGACAATTTTATCACTACTGATTTTACTTTAGAAGCACTCGCAAAATATTAAACTATTAAAGTTATTAAAGAAAGAAATGTTCGAAAATATATTCGAAATAATAATAATAATAGATTCAAAGGGGCTGATAACGCGATGGTAATAAACTAATACGATTAAGGACACAAAAGGTTTCAATTCCCTGTGTCTTGTCTGCGGCAGTTTAAAGGATTCCGCATCAAATTACGCATCGATCATTTCTGTATAATTAAGAGACTACATGAGTTCAATATACAAAAACGTTATATTAATTGCTGATTTTCCATTGCAATGATTATTTATGATTCAGCCTAGATTATTTATGATTCGCAATATGATAGTAACTAATTTTTATAAAATATAACGAATAGAAATGATTTTGACTTGGTAATGAGAAGGCAAAATATTTCTCGCTCTCTTTCTCTCAGTAATATACACTCGCCATTTGTGATAGCCATGTGAAGAATTTTATTACAGACTTCATATGCTATTTAAATATTAAACGATATCTATGTATATGTGTAAATTACGCTTGGACACGACATCGACATAGACTTGTTGGAACATCATTATGTTAGTGACAAAATACCGAGTAGCGTAAGTAGCGTGTAAACATAGTAATCGGTATATAATGACTATTCTAAGTTTCCCCTTACGAAAGAAGTGCTAGAAACACATTTGGTCTAAACGAAGGCTCTTGACTCGGATCCTTATTTTACATTCTACGCTACATGTGTACCAGTTTTGCAATCTAGACGTATTTCGACTCGAAGTGCGAAACGCGAGAGAGCCATTGCTCCTACGTGTTATACGAGAGTGTAACCTTGTTGACAAAATTTTTACCGACACGGCGATGTCAGGTTTCACAATAATTTATTTACAACTTATAAAAACATTCGCACATACGCAAACATTGATTTAAAATTACTGCCGTTCCAAATTACGCGCTGCTTTAACGTAAAAGATCATAGCGGCAAACAAACAGGCAACGATGTTAAATCAATGATAATAGTATGCGAAAGACTTTGCACTACGTAATGATTGCATCGCACGTGGTTTTTTGTCGCGCACAATGATGACGTAGTAAAAAGCGTAATGCAGAATGGCGTATAAATTAATCCCTCGTTAGAGTCGGTCTGATATATCGCCCACAACTTAACAGTACCTGCTTTACAAGCCATTACGGACATTAGTAATAAATTACCTAACTGTACGTCATATAAAACACACATATGTATGTATGTATGTACGTATGTATGCATGTATAAATAGTCGCTATGTAATTCGCTCTACGTGTAACATAAGGAAGTCAATCGTATAAGTTCAATCGTCGACAAAAAACTCACGGAGATTGAAGTACCGAGGAGATATAAAAAAATCGTACGAAAATCCGTACACATTTGTCAGAAGTGGATATGCACGATCGAAATGCAAAATATTGAATACATTGTGCGTACAACATTAATAACTTGAATGATACAAACTCGATAGAGTATCGTAATATTCGAACGGTTTGCATGAACACAAACAGACAAGTTGTTTTTTTTTTGCATATAAATACCTATATATATTATATATTAATTTTTATTTCCTATCGTTCCTTCGATTTCTATCGCATTACTAGTAGACTGCCGAATTTATTACAGCATGCCCAGTGTGGCCCCTCGCATAAGAGTGTAAGAGATATATTTTTTTCCTCACTACCGTAATTCTAGACTTGCGATTAAATTCGGTCCTACGGTCGATCGGTTTCCTTTTTTTTTTTTTGTCCCCGAAGTGACTGATACATAAAAAAATATATCCAGCCACGCACATCTTCCATCCAGACGAGTAACTATAAAATTACATTTTTTCTTCATATGCGTATATAGACGTTCGATATCTCTAAGTCACACTTTCCACTTGCCACTTCAATAAGTTTCATTATTCTTATCGATTACGATAATTTTCTTTTTTATTTTGTCTCTATGATTTGATAACCAGCGCATTCGTTCGCAGGTTACAGACAATACTTTTTTTTTTTGCTGATTTCGAAGAACAGAAATGGACGTTTTATCCTTTCTGCGATTGTTGCATGATCGTAACACAAATCATCGTTCGCTTTGCATTTCAATAAAGACAACAGACTTTTCATATCGTAGGATTATGCAGATGTCACGATTACACTTGCTATATTTCATATGTTGTATGTCAATCAATTATGACGATATGATATAAAACTAACAATGTGCGTATATCGTGTGTGATTTCATTGATCACTTATAATCAGCGATACTTGATTATGAAATAAAAATTAAAGCCAGATAAATATCGACTGGCAATAATGTCTAATCCATAATCTAATCCATCTTATTTTCAATTACGTGTCATGAACGGCTTTACGTATGCTTGGTGATTATATAATTAATATAATTTCTCTTTTAAAAATGTTAAAATATTATGTGCAAAATTAAAATTCTAATTATAGAGAGCTCTAGGTGAACGATTTCTGCATATACGCTATATATACTTTTGCCTTTACAATATTTCGTGCAATGCTATATGTTTTTTTTTTATTACAATATTCGTTGTACATTGGATTTCGCCTCTAGCTAAATGATACGACATCTGCAGACTTCTACGATATCAAGTTGCTGTAAAATTATGGTTATGTACAAGTGCATCATTAAATATTCATAATTAATATAAATATAAATATGTCCTCGGAGTATATACGCGTATACATATGTGATCGAAATTATAGCGCATGTGTTTTATACCTTCATCCGGACTTGTGCAATACACATGTCTAAACTTATGTATAAATGTAGAATTATATATATATATATGTAGAATTATATATGCGTAAATATGAATTGAGCATTACAAATATATGTACAAACATTTTTCTATATATCTATACACGCGTACTGTATGTACACTAGCTTCATGTGAATAATGATAGAACAACACATCGAAATTAGGTACACATGCGGCTTAAATATAAACTCTAGAAGATAATTGAAATTAATTCAATGATAATCGTAAGCAGACTAACGTATTTTTCAACAGCGTAAAACAGTATAAAGATTTATAAAAACCGACTGTACAAAATTGTATACAATTACTAAAACTGAAGAACGTAACAAAATTCGAAATACTGATCACTAATCATACAATATGGAAGCACTTTTTAATTTATTTGGATTTTTTCATATTTATCTCTAATTAGCCAAATAACTAATTCTTTGTCACATATCATAGATAGTTAATAACTTTATAAATTAAAAAACAAGTTATAAGTTCAGATATAAAATAGTGTATATATATATATATATACGAAGTATATAGTACATCAACATCGCGCGTATCAAGGCCATCCTCCAAATGGCTTCTTAGCCAAATCTTAACTAAACTATCTATAACAATCTGGACTGCTCATTAAAACAAAATCTTTATATGGCATATATAATAGATACGCCTGTTAAAAAAAGACGCTTTCTTACGATCAACAATTTAAAATATATTCCAGTCTTAAACAATGTTAATAAAACATTTGTGCTCATATAACTGCCTATTTGTGACCTTCATATGTATTATTTTTTTTTCTTTTGTAAAACTGATATAAAAGTTCAATAAAAAATTTTTTGTAAAATATTACATTGAATACTCACAAGTGTCATTAAACTCAATAAATAAAATTAGATAAAAAATATAAAAAAAGTAAAAATATTTAATCAGATAATAAAGTGATAGAAACATGCTTTACTCCAAAATAATGTAAAAAATTTACAAAATATTTTTTATAGTATAAGCATAGTGCGTAAATTCGACAAACAAGCCGATCACTTATAATCACCGATACTTGATTATGAAATGAAAATTAAAGTCAGATAAATATCGACTGGCAATAATATCTAATCCATAATCTTATTTTCAATTACGTGTCATGAACGACTTTACGTATGTTTGGTGATTATATAATTAATATGATTTCTCCTTTAAAAATGTTAAAATGTTATGTGCATTAAAAAGACAGTAAATAATTTTTTTTGGAAATCAACAACTTAAAACGGGAGACCAATATCTTTTCTTTTACGTTTCGCACACAAATGGCAGTAACGTTACGCAAATAATGAACTTATTATCTGATTACAATTGAACCAGCTTACATTATTCCAATGGCAGTATAAGTTTTGAGTAATTTCAATATGCACATTATGTCATGATCATACAACCCTTTGTCATCTCTTGCGTATCTATACGTAAAGTATGATTATTTTGCGCTAAAATCTTCTATTATATTCATCGCGTGAATGCATCCATTAACTCGACGTACATCAGTCACTTATTATATGCGGCATATATTCTATTAAGTTCTCGACACATAGCATAGTATTTTGTCGCCGATTTTCTTGCCATTGCACAATCTCGCACATTATAGTATTCATTATATTGCACGATCTGAATCACGCATATAATAGCCGTGCGCTAATATACGTGTACATACAAATAATCGATTTGAATTCAATATTCTACAAAAAACCGGCAACGAAATGCATGCAGATGCGTGCCGCACATATAAGTTTCATTAATTCCAACCTGAGGGCTTCGAATATATCATGTAATATGATACTTACATAAAGGCCAAGTTATATACAAGTTTCTAACACTAAGCGACTTTGCGTCGGGTCTCAGAAAGCTTCCACAAAACTTGCTGGAAATAGTCCCGTTCGACCAGTGCGCTGCTGTGTACCTTTGTACCATCCATCGTCGCGCTTTTTGTGTACATAAATTATGTCTCCAACGCGAAGCTCCAGCTCAAATTCGCTATTGGGAGGATACGGTACGATACAACGAAATCTATACACCCGATCACTGAAATTGAATATAATTATTAAAGTTATTAAAAAAAAACGCAATAAGTTTCATGAAAATTAAGAACGAGAGAACTGGAAAATAATCCGAGACAATTCTTACCGATCGCGCGACGACGGTTGTTTTGTTTGCTTTCCCATTCCAGCATCTAAAGAATTACTCTTACGATGATGATTTCCAACAGTCGCACATACCATTGCACCGGATTCACTAGATCTAGACAAAATAAAAATCCACATGTAACCAAAACTATTATTATTATCACAGTTATTCATTATAATAAAATGTTTTCTAATAATTGGCTATATAGATATAATATGTGAAATGCTAACATGTACAGACAGTTCAGCATCGCACAAGCATAAATAAAATATATTTTAATGCCGTTTGAAAATGATTAATAGCCATGAACATAACATATAAATGCTATCACAACAAATCTTTTAAACATGCAAAGTATCTCTATATGTTTCTCTAATTATATTTTATTTTAGTATTTATCTCGTTTTATATCAATCTTAAAAATACTTTATTATTGAACAGAGCATAACAAGTAATAATATAAACTTGCAGTAATTTATACATATATGATTGCGGTGATATATAAAAGTTATCCACATACATATAATTCTTGTTAATTGCAACATAAAATAAATTGTGCAAAAGTGATAAACGTCTCTAAGCTCACTTACCTAAAAATAAAATGCAGCTTTATCATACAATCAATCGCAAACACTAATGTAGAAAAGATAAATATGATAAGATTATGTATAATCTTCAAGGCGATCACATGACTTAAAAAGACATAAAAAGTATTTTTGCCAACAAAATTATTAATTTGACATAAAGTGACTTGTAAAAATATCTGCTATTTTATGTATTGGTTATAAAAGTAAAAAATATTAAATAATATTATATATATATTGTGTTAAAATATCAATAATAACGTATGCGGAATAAATTATATAAATAATATCATTTTTCTAATCCCGTAGAAAATATCTTTTTGTCATACTTCATATAATTCATCTTTTATCTGACAAAATATATATATATTTGTTGCAAATTTAGGTCACTTCATGTTTAGAATTACAAACAACTAACCTTTGCATTATTGACACTGGCAAGGAGGGTCTCTCCTTGTATTTCAGTCTCTGTGAGGATGTGACGTGCCCTTGCACAGAGCCTGGACATAAGCGGTGTTGGTTGTTTGAAGCGTTTAATTCCTGTGTAGGCACCTGTAGCAATTGACTTGGGCAAGATCCCGATCTGCGATTTGCCGATTCATCCAGCCCACCCACCCGTCCCAACACAATATTAGAGAAACATTTCAAGGCGTGCATTTGGTGTCATGCTGCACAAAGCATGATAATAAACGTTTCACGTTAATTTGCGGGTGGTTGCTTGCCACCAGTACGTTTCTGCTTTACGTGTGCGTAACTATGGTGAATGCCACGTCATGCAACAATTTCAGCAACAAAGAAACATAATGCTTTTACTTAACACAACACTTTGACGAACATTTATACACGCACATACATGTCAAAATTGCGCAATAACAATAAAAAGATGCTATTCTCGTATACACAATGTAAATGCATGCGTAAATTAGCATGATACACATAAAATTGATAACTAGAACGTGCAAATTTAATCCGGAATAGATTAACAATGTTCTAAAAATTTTTAGATTATAATACAAATTGTACATACATATGAAACGTAAATCCGCAGCAGTCGAAATAAAAACGGTACTCACCGAACGTGCATCGGATTGACAGAATTGCCGTCGTCAAACACAGGATTATCCATCGAGTATGTCGTGGGTGGAGGCGATTTGGATTTTTTAATATTGGTCAAGCGACGCATCAGGGAAACGCACTTGTCCTTTTTTTCCTTTGTCTATAGTTTATAAATAGATATATATATAAACAGCCTTGTTTCATTAACAAAACAATACACAAATATATATAATTTTAGATATAAAAACCTTTTCCGTAGTTCTGGATGCAGCCGCAGTTGCATTGGAAGATGGGATACCACCTCGCAGAGTACTATTCGGGCTTCTATTCATATCGCTTGCGGAGGAAGAAGGAGCGGCAATGGTAGCACTACAGCCATTGTTAACGCTATTGATACCCACTGCCGGTTGCAGCGATGATGCAATTTGTTTTCCAGGGGAAGCTGCAAAAGTATGATATAATTATAACATCGAAAAAAGTATAATGTCTTTAAAATACATACGGATATTTGACGTCATCACTGCACTATGACTGCGCCCGAGTTGATTGGTGGCCGTGTTTGGATCGTTATGCCGAGGCGGACTAGTTTCCTGATTTGCTCCTTGATTCTGCTGAGCGGCACCATGCCAGGACGAAGACACGGTCGTGGACGAGGGGCTGATGGCGCGCGGCGGTAATTCAGGCGGCGGCAATGTGCGAGGATTGTACGGCTGCGGCGCGGGCCCTTTGCTCTTCGTGTACGTGATGGCCAAGCGGGACTCGGCGTTCGATACCGCATTCGATAACGGCGAGCCTTGATGCTGGCTCGGCGAGTTTGGAGATCCGCGACACAGCCCACGTTGACATCTACGATAAATATCACAGAAATTTAATACGAATGATTGAACGCTCGCGATATACCAGAGTGGAAAGTACGTACTTGGCGGGTGCGACGTAATTTCCCGGGAAAACTCCGCACTTCTGCGTGCGATTGGACGTTCCTTTGAACCATCCGTCCTGACAGCGTTCCGTCACCATGTAAATCCCGCCTTTTCGTAACTCAAGCTCATCCGCTTTCTGCGGTTTGTACGGATACAGCGCTATGTACGCGGCTGGTAAATGCGTCACGCCGGACGCGCTGGACGTCTGATTAGCTGGTGCGCTTTGAGATGGCTGGGCGAGAACGAGATCGCTGCTACCGCTTCGTCTGTGACGTAGATTATGATCCGTGCAACTGCTGCTGGTCTAAAATAAAAATAAACTTAAGTTTAATATAGATTTTAGCAAAAAAAAGGAGAAAAAATATTGAAATGTTAAAAGGCAAAAGCAATAGAGAGAGTTATGCATTAACTGAGATACTAGTTCATATATGTAATCCACAGAGAAATTGTTTTAAAAAAATGTGGTTTCCTTACTTGGGAAAATGACTCATTGCCTCCGCTATTATTGGCGTTATTAGGAGCACTGTCTACCGGAGGACTAAGTATTTCAGCGCTATGTCTATGATGCGGATGAGAATGATGACCTGTATTGATGGCAGTGAAACTATGACGTTTAACGTTATGTCTGTTGCCAACGGCGGGCGGTGACGTTGCGGGGCTGCCAGGACTGCTCGGCGCAGTGCTGGAGCTACTGGACGTGGTCGAGCTGTTGGGTGTGTTCGGAGTGGTGGTCGTAGAACTGCCACCCGACGAAACGTTTGAGACGGAATCAGACACTGGTAATGCAGCATTCTGCACAATGTCAAAATACGTATAAATATGCTTGAATTGAAATTGATTTGTGTAGGTATCTTGATTAATTAAAAGATGTTAATCTACCTGTGCCAGTTGCGGTCGCGGTTGGCTCGTAGTCTGCACATTGCGCGAGTGATCAGTCGGTATCAGCGGCGTGGTTTCTTCGTTCGTCGGAGTTGGCGGGGCTACTCTTGACGGCCCTGGCTGTACACTGATTAAATAACTGTTTAAAAACATATATATTCACTTAAATTATCATAACAATATATCGACTATTTCACTCACTTGGTAGAGAGTTTCATCAAAGCTCTAGCGACACTGTTCAGCTCCACAAAAGCTAATGGAAAAATACCGATTCTGTCCAGAAGTTTACCCTCTGCCCAATTCTCGTCTACTCTCCTGATGACACTGATAACTTCTCCCTGAACATACATTCATCATTTTTCATACATAGGTGACAGTGATGTGGCAAGAAATTGAAAAAGATGATTCAAGAAAATACCTTGTTAAAAGTTAAACAGCCATCTTCATCGTCATTTGTCATTCTAAAATCGTATAATGCTTTGCACTGGGGCACATGTGGTGTCAAAGGTGTCATTACCTGTAAGTTACATGATAAAACAAATCATACAATAAAATATCCAATTGAAGAACTATAAAAGAAAGTATTTCATGATTTGTGCACGATACCTGAACATAAGACAAAGGAAAGACACCATGATTATTGCCACACTCTCCATAGTACCAGTTGTTATCAATTTTCTTCCGAAGAATGACTATATCACCCTTCTTGAAACTCAAATCACTGAAAGAAAGTAAATAATATTAGCATGTGTCTATTGTGTTGCAGCTACGTATGCGTTTTATTCCTTTCATGGAGTGTCAGACACACGTAGTTACAATATAAATATCAATGTCGCACAACACATACCCTGGCACCTTGGAGACATAATCGTAGATCGCCCTTCCGTATGCCTGATTGTGTAAATGTGCCTGCTTAGCAGCAGCATTGGAATGTCGTATCGTCGGTTCTGAAGCAACTGCGACGGCAGGAGCGAGATTGCCGGTCACTATCGGCGCCGGAGCGACCTGGTGGCCGCCGAACAACCGCTGTGGCACCGCGGTGCCGCCGGAAGACCTTGACGATAACGCGGATTTGACTTGATTCTTCGGCGCAGCGTTGCGCATCCCCTCAAGGATACGCATCAGCAACACATTCGGCGGCAGGTCGTCCACCTTTGCATCCACGAGTACTCGGCACTCCGGGCATCGCAATTCACGGTGGGTGCTCACAATCTCCTCCAGGCATTTTTTGCAGAACGTGTGCTGGCACGGTAGCACCTTGCTGGACGTGTCGAGCCGCTCCAGGCATACCGAGCACTCCAACAAGTCGTTCAGCATGCACTCGTCCATCGTGCACTTGTGCTTTGCTCCACCCGCGACAAACAGCACACGCACCACCCGATCGGTCGTACCTACTCCGGATTCCTCGTCGCTGCGCTCGCGCTCGCTCTATCGAAACGTACTCCCTCCCCCATCTAACCCTCTCAACCGTTTCACTCTATTTCTCTCTCGCTCTCTCCTGCACGCCGCTCCCGCCCTCCTATCCGTCTCTCTTGAACACACGCGATCGCATACTCCCGTCCCCGCGCACCACCGGAGAAGCGGACGGTTTATCGGGCTGCAGTTCCGGTATTGTGCGGCAGCGCGAGCGCAGGAATTTAATTCGCTTTTACCGTCTACTCTGCCGTCTCACCTCTCTCTCTCTCTCTCTCTTTCTCTACGTCTTCTTCTCTGCTTTTCGCACTCGCTCGAGATAACGCGAAAGAAGCGTGTTTCACGCGGAATACACGCGCTTGTCTTACTCGAATGACGGCGGCTTAATTAACGTCTCGGTTGTCGCACGACGGCACGGCCTCGCGCGCATCGCGCTACGGCATCGATCAATCGCGCACGTCGATTCTGTCTGGCGGTGACGAGCGCAGCACGGCGAGTCCATGCACCTGCGACGTCGTCATTGCTGCGCGGTGCGATGAACCCGACGACGACAACGACGACGTCGTTAATTGCTGTCCGAGCGTTGACTCCTACGCTAAGCATATCCGCTTCTCCGCGCGCTTTTGAACAGTCATCCGCGATGAATATGCACAAATATTATTATAATCGTCATTGCCGCTCAGTTCGGCTTGCGTTTAGTACACTTGTGTTGTATTACAGGTGACAGTGTAAACAGCATTGTTGCGGATATGAGTTACACCTAAAATTTTCATCTATGTGTGATTGATTTTTAAGTAGAAATAAACATTATTAAATTACCTTACTTAATAGTTGAACCATGACATTTAAATCAATGCGTGAGCTACGTATATATAAGATTTTACATTGCATGTTCAATTCAAAGTCAAACAAAACAACAAATCATTAATTGGATTTTGCTTAATTTTACACGATGCTATTTTTATTATCGATTAGCTCATTGTAACTGTTACTTTTAAATAATAACGTTATTCGGCATTACCAAATTAACAGAATGTACGAGAAAAAAATCAAAAAGCAAAGGGATATTTTTAATTGATTTGGGGAAAAAAGTCCCTTTATTTTTCGATGCTCCCTAGTAAATTGGATATCCATCAAAGTGTTTCATGTAAAGCAGTCTTTAGGTCGCGCGTTTCTCTTATTGCACAATCAGTGGTTACGCTTCTAGACACACATACTCGATGATTATTTATATGAGTTATGCATCAACAATCAACAATTTATCGCTGCGAGGAGAGTGGGATTTTTCCGATTTTTCTCACTTTGGTGTAGTTTATGTTATTGAAAAAGTTAATAGCGTGTTAGTATGATTCTCAGCAGCTTGAAATGTGACTATGGCAAAAAATATGTAACACAAACTCGCAACAGCATCGAAGTCGTGTATTCTTTGTTTGTTCTTCTATTATTTATATTTATTCTGCCATTTGAGAGCCATTTGAGAGCCACACATAAAGGATCGTGAACTTTCTAGCTTTTTCTAATAGGTAACGTCAAAAACATTCTGCGGAATAAGATATGTCTCGGCGTTAGCTTGTGATTGTGAAGCAATGGTTATACTGCATAGTTCTTTTTTATAAGTTTTGCAGAATTGTCAAAAGTTGCTATTGTCATGTTTAAGTGGCATTTAGTGTATCTTATAGCCAATCATACACATATCACAGCTGACACCTATAAATTGATTATGTTATCAACTTAAGTATTTTTACATGGATAATGCTTAATCTAAGTGTTATAAATTACTTTTTATTATATTGCAGAAAAGTCTGACATACCGGTGATTTTTAACATACTCACTATTGACTGCATAAAATTTAATGCACTTATCTATATACTTTAATTGTTGAATAACAATAATATTTGAATGACATCATAACCTAGGATATTCTATTAAGATACATTGATCAGAGCAAATGTGAAGATTACAGCTGACCCATTTGTTACCTTTTACTCAATAATATGGGTGAGTGTAGTCAACCGATATGATGTAACTTTTAACAATTTTATATAGTTGATTGCGCAATATTGAAATTGTTCTTTTATGATGACCTAGTGATGGCAGGAAACGAAAGTGCGCCAGATGACGCGTTATCCGCGAGATTACAATGGCTACGTCAGCGCAGAGAAGCCTTGCAAGAGAAGCTAGCCCAAAAAAATAATGAGTTGAAGAACCTATGTGTGGAGGAAGCGGAGATAACAGGGGTTTTACCTCCGGAGATACCTCTAGAGCCTGGAGAAAGTCCACCAACTTTTCGTAGAAAAGTGGGCACCTCGTTTACATATCCACAGAAACTAATTAACAAGCTGAAGTCAACTGATGTTGTAAGATTATATTTTTAAACGATATAACGTGAGATTTTGTAACATGTAATGATTGATAACTGCAGATGTGCTTGTCATTTGTGTGTGCAGGAGGAATCAGAATTGGAATTGGAAAGGCAAGTACAACTTGGCATTGTGGAAACTGCATTGGGTATTGTTAATGATCCTACAGAAAGCAAAGCTACACGACGCAAGAACAGACTCGTTTATCAGCAGAGTCAGCGAAGACTGCAAGAATTGGAAACAGAGTTGAATTTTATTCGGCAGAGTCGCGGTAAAACGCATCGACCGATGCAATTACCGACACAAGTGGGAAGTTACAATACGCAATCGCACTCTCATACCAATGTAAAACACAGAACAAAGAAACCACGACCGCCATTGGATAATTCAGGTATATTCTTAATGCAACTTTGCGCGATAAATAAAGCTTTGATATGTAATTTGTTGGTAATTATAGGAAATGAAGTAAATACTCCAAAGTCTACTGGAAGAGGTATACTCCACGATCCAGGTATTAGTCTGAGCCCTTTAGTGTCCGACGACAAATGCATCCTAGACAAGTTAAATACATATCCTGGACACGGATACGAAGATCAATTAATACCGAATGTCTGCAGTCATCATCACCACAGTGGCACTCGTCCCAGTGTAAGCCCCATCGAACCCCAAACAAACGTTAAAATTGTGGAACACGATCACAACGACAACCACAACATTTACATTTTACCCGAGCAATACCGTCCTCGTACATATTCTCACGGAAGCGGTGGATCTCGCAGTCAAAGTTACTATCAAGACAACGAGAGAACGTATCGTCCGTATGTTCCAAACACCTACACCGAGGACGAGCGTCTGATGCGCTATCGGCAGTTGCAACATGCGCAAAAGCAACAGCATCTACAAGACCAGATGCATAGTCACAGACTGCAGCACACGAGTTCTGTCGAGTACAAACATCTGTACAACTCGGACAATATGGATATACGAAGAAGTCAGGGATCCTTCGACAAAGACTTTCGCGCGTCCCATTACACGCCCGTCACCGATTATCAGGTATATTACAAAAACAACGCGCAATCGCAGCAATCTTTATACAGACGTGATCGCGACTCATCGTTGTCCGGTAGCAAGAACACTCTGCGGCACACCAGTAGCGCTACGTTGATCGAGGCGCAGTTGATGTCCGGCTATTGGGTGCGTCACAACGACGAGGTCCACTGGGTGAGTCTGGACGATCCCACGGCCGACAGATTTGGCAGCTTGGACCGCAGACGGCGGAATACTCAGCCTAACGGCGGTGTCGCGATCGCGAATTCGGACACGCAGTCGCGTTACCGCACGGTCGCTGTTTCAAGCACCAAGAACTCGTCCGGCAGCAATGTCGCCACGTCGTCCCATCAGCATCATTCCGTTCACTTGCTGCCATTGTCCGAACACCAAATGCCGAACAACAACAAGATGCTGCTGCGCACTCAATCGCTGGGAAGCGTGGAAATGTGGCAGTCGAGCCACTCTCACGACTCGCACGACGGCAAGGACGCGCCAACAGAGTACACCAATAATAATCGCAAGAGTCGCCAGAAGGAATGGTACGAGACGTCCCTGGATTCGGGAGCGCCCGCGAGCTTCAATCACAACGTAGCCACCGCGCCTAAAAACGCGCATTATCAGTCGAGTCCTCCGCCGCCACGCATAAAGATCGCCAACACCGAAAGCGTGAGAGACAGCCAAATAATAACCAGTGGACCGCCGCCGATAAGCCCGGTGAACCGTCACAAAAGGGACAAACCCGAAGAGCGGCAGCACGCGATACAACAGCCTCACGTTCGTTACGAGCCGCCGGCGACGAGGCCGAAGGTGCTGGAGATACCAGCGGAATCGAAGCCTACTCTTGACGTTTGCGACGACGCGATACGACCGTTGGGCTCGCCGCAGAACTGCACTGTCGTCCAACCGGGAAAGTATCAGCCATACCGTGAGGTGACGAAACCCTTTGAGATGTCGGACTTCTACAAGTATTCGACGAAATTCCGCAAGAGAAACGAAGTCGCGACGCAATCCCAGGTCGGAAGTGATTCCCCGCTGCAGGAGAATCGTCCCGCGGAAGTAGGTTCCGGCGATTTATCCCGGGATCCCAACTGTAACTTTGGGCAGAGCAGCGGTAACGTTACTACCAGTCCGGTGCAGCGAAGGTTCTATCAACCGGTGCAGCGCATGACCTGTCAACCATATCTCTCATCGTTAAGATAATCGCGTACAATAAGGTTCATTCACACCGTTACATTATTATACAATGCGACACACTACACACGTACACGCACGCACAGAATTATTCATCGAAGATGGGCTGGTCCTATCGAAATAATGTTCTTTATTCTTCTTTAGTCAATCACTAATCTACTAATGTAGGATTTATATATGAATATATACACATACCCACGCGCGGAGAGACCCAGTGGCACAATTTTTTTTCTATTCTTCGACTAATATTTTTAACAGTCGACTATTTATCGATGCCAGTTTTCACTAATCGTCGATGCAACATCGTCGATTGTGCAGTCAGAGAACTGCAATGTTTACACGCCTACCAAATTGTGATTTTGATCTATATAGCGTTAAACAAATTTTTTGAGTAGTAATATGTAGATTTATTTGTAAATTTAATTTACAAGTCTATATATTATTACTTCGAAAAACTTCTTTAACGCTACATAGATTTATTTTGTGGTAAAGAGAGAAGGAGGGGGGAAGAACGAAGGAATGTAAGGATTATGTAATCCAGTTTATGCTTGACCCCAATGTCGATAAATTGACTAATATTGGGACCTGAATAGTGCCTTCTATTAACCGAAGCGTCAAGTGGATGATGGGGCATAGTTATATTTTGAGATTATACCTTAAAGTGGATTAAGCTTCTCTGAAAACTGTCTTCCACTTGTCGGCTTCCATTATAATTATATTCATAATTGTGTTCAACAATGGATTAAAAATATATTTTCTATATATAATATAAGCAAAGGCTTTTCGCAGATTTTCGCGTTGCAAGATTGCTATTGATAAGTTATTAATGTTGGTTGTTAGACGCAGCTCTTTTTACAAGCACCGATTATTAGATTATTAGACGATATCGCTAATCTACAATTTTGTTATACGCAAACTTTTTTCCTAGGACTTTGTATAATAGCTCATAAGCTCATAAAACGCCCATAAGCTCTCTCGACTGATCACGAAGCAAGGATATACGCGTTTCTACATAGTCTGAAATTATAACATATATCTCTTCCCCAGAAGGCTTCTATATAAAAAATAATAAAAGTAAAAGTGCGTTAATCTTAGAATAACGACAATACCATGGATAACAATATGTATGAATAATTATTACATAAACTGTTCATGCATTATGTATGCATATATTACATTTATCTTGCTCGGCGTATAGTAATGAGAAATAAAATCTCGTTATAAAGATTTTATTTACTCACCGCAATGTATTCGCCGAGGGATTTAATTTTAAATCTCGATTGTTGCGTTTGACGTGTTACTCGCTAGCGCTTGCATCATATCATAAATTTTCAAGTTGCGAAGACAATATGTACTGTTGCTGTAATGCGCGTTGCTCCAAGCGACACAGATTTACACGTTGCAAACACCTTCACATCACAGAAGTAAATATAACGGCTTTATGTTAGCTGTGATTAATTACGCGCTGCGTGTTGTATGCTACTTTTAGCAAATTTTTTTGTACCGCTTTATACATCTATTTCATGCTAATAAAAATGCTGATTTAATATAATCGCCATATATATACGTTTTTTATGTAGTAAAAATCTGTAAAAATTTAAACAATTGAAGAGCAGCGAAAGAACCCAAAAATGATAGAAACATTTAATAAAATCAAAGATTCTTTAAAATATGTAAGAGAATTTTAAAGAACATGGAGGGAAAAACAGATGATCCATCTTTAATACAAAATCAAGAGCGTAGTGCGAGAGAGAAATATTCAAAGGAAAGGATAGCTATGATTGTAAATAAAGATTCTTGCAGAAAGGATAAAGTGAAAGGCATGGAGGATTTTCGTCTTCCTGCCGATGATCCAAGGTCATACACCACTTCAAGATAAGCCAGTAATGAATTTAGAGAATGTTATGCTCTTAGACGTCATTTCTTACAGATTTCAACAGCAAAATCAGACGGCGAGATGCTTCGTGATGTATACCGATTTTTATCGCTGCGAGCATATTTTAGGTAAAAATGCCGAAGCTTGCACATGGTTTAAAGAGGTTTTCACAACCATATGTCCGAATGCGTGGGTGGAACGTTGGGACGAGCTTAGAGTTACAGGCCGATTACCTTGGCATAAGCATAGAACTCAGGGTGCTTTCCCCGGCTGCAAATACGGCGAATAAAAATCAATTTTACTGATCTAAAACTTGAGTTTTGTAATACGGAATAATTAAACAATTATGATTCATTTTGTATTTTTGAAAATTATAATTAAAATAATAATAGTAATAACTGTATGAAGACTTCAGAAAACTTTTATAGATTATACTTTAGATTTAGATTATATATTTAGAATAGGAAGGACAAAACATTATTAACACACATCAAATAAGAAAAAAATATCCAACTTTTATTATACAGGTACAAGATTTATCATTATGAGGTAACTTATATCGAAGAAAGAGTAACCGATGTAAGTGTCCTATGATGATCCAACATTGCTGTCTTCTTTCAAGTCTCAGTTCTTCTTACAGTGTGGTCAACAAACTCTTCTTCTATCCTTACCACGTTATTTACTTGCAGTTCATGACACTTTTTTTTATAATCATAAAAAATATACACTCGTAGACATTTTCTTTAAACTTTTGATAAAATATGGGCGTTGTTCGAAAGCTCGTGTTGTGGTAGCGTGATTAAAAAAAGTCTTACATAAAATGTAAGATTTTTACAAAATAAAGCTAATTTCAGGATTGTGCACTAGAGTCTGCCTGGGTGAAGACAACTTACCAATCTTCGGGTGTTGACTCCGCTTACGTAACACACGATCCCGTCTCTATTGATATATCTCTACTTCCTGGATGGTAATCGATGTTACCTATAAATGCGAAAGCAAAGACATTTGTTTGAAGGAGACAACTAAAACTATTCTTTATTATGTGTGTTAGTAGTACACAATCAAAGAAAAGAGGAATTCAAGTTAAAGCACTCTCTTGCTTAATGTAAAAACTCAACAATTTATCTTCTTTTAGCGTTATGCATGAAGTATCTTTCATCTTCAATTATTATTGCATTAAATGCATTAAATGCATGCGACATATCCTATACGATTAGATTTTAGGGATTAAAACAACTGTACGCGAATTTACAATATCTTTGAATCGATTAACGCGTTATTAACTTAAATGTGCGATCCATGGATGCATTTGACGTTGTAGAAATTAAAACCACCTTACGTATGTAGTAACATATTTCAGGTTTGATTCCTCGACTGATGAATATATTGGCAATCTTCATCCCTGCAAATGCCCATTATTTCATATGGACACAGGATTCCATGAGGATTCGTGTTCCTGGTAGGAAGAGCAACAAAAACCACAAAAATCCTCAAGATTTTTAGCATAGTCCACAAACAATGGACGATCGAGTACTATAATCTTTATGTTCAGAGAACGAAAGGAACCCACCTTGGTATTTTTAAATGCGTCAATATCGATACATAAGGTGTAATTGTCGTCGTTGTCGTCGTTATCGTCGTTGCCGTTGCCGTTGCTGTTGCCGTCGTCGTCGTCTTCGTCGCCGTTATCTTCGTCATCGTTGTCGTTGTCAATGACGGTGGTAGCGGCGAAGTTCTCTTGTTATTTTGTTCAACTTGACATGAAGAATCCGACGATCCTAGCTCTGCAGATGTGGCGGGATCAGAAATATCCTTGCTAGAATTTTTTTGCCTACGTACTTCATTATTTTCTTGGATAGGAGTACTACTTAGCTTTGGTACAGAATGCAGTGACTCTTGACTAGGTGTACTTTGTTCATCACTGCTGTGTAGTGATGCATTAGTGGACGCATTAGTGGACGCATTAGTGGATTTTTCTTTTCTCTTTACTGGTGTTGTATGACTTGGAAATGTTTGCGGGGGATCTAACAAAAGTTCCGACATTGATAAACTCTCACTATCATTAGACTCTTCCGAGCGGAAAATATGGCTCTTTGATCCCGCCACATCAATTATAGTTTTATCACACGTTGGCTGTTCTTGCAACGACAAATCCTCCTCGGCGCTCGTGACTCTCGTTGATTCCAAGCACGATGATGGTTGTTGCGATGAGCTAGAACAGGAACTGGAACTTTCAGAGATGTCGCTAAACTGGATCCGTTTTTTCTTAGTGAACTGGCGAGTATGATTGGCAACTTCCTTCAGCTTCTCGCTCAAAAGCTGACCGCCTGCCTCCGGCAACCTAAAAGAACAATTCTCGAATAATAGTAATAATCTAAAAGAAAAAGGATAAAGATTTTTTTTATTACTTCGCAGTAAAAACTAAACGATTATCATATTAAATGTATATGCTACATTTGTGGCTTTTATACTGGCGTACTTGTAATTTTTCCCCAAGAGCTGGTTACCCAGTATGGAACAAATTCTTGATAACTTGAAGCACTCGTGCCGTCCAGCGTTAATCTTTTCCCGCGCAGTCGAAACTTTCGGGCCCATGCCGTTAACGCGATCGCGCTGCATTTGTAATCTTTCCTCGGCCACCTTGAGTTGTTCCTTCAATTTCTTCACTTCAGTGGCTAGGCAGTTCTGCAGATCCCGCTCCATGTCCCATTGACGAAGATTCCCTGACATTTCCGCTAAGTGATCCAAAACGTTATAGCTGCATACAAAATAAAATTTAATGTTACTCTTATCGCGTTACTATTATTATATTTCTTTTCTACAAATTAATTACCGTCTCGCGACTAATTTGTGCTCAGTGCCCTTTAAATACTGCTCTTGGTCCGCTGGTGAAAGGTTCATCAAGTTACCCAATTCCGCTTTTACATCTTTTTTAAGCGCCTCCCAAACGTCATCTGTATTACTTTTATCATCTGCATTTGCGTCGGATTGACGAGAATCATTGTTATTATTATTTGGCAAAGCTGACGACACTGAAATATTATTTGTAATTTCTCGTCGACATTCCACTTCGTATTGCGAACGCGACATCGTGGTTTCCAGCGCGTCGTCAATTTCTTGCTTACTCGTAGACAGATTTGAGAGCAGTACAGTGGATGCGTTGGAAAATGCGCTGTCGTTGTTATTATTCTCATTGTTTTTATTTTTTTCTAGAATTTCTACACTAGTAATATTACTTTCGACAGACTTATCACTTTGACTGGAGCTCGCCGTATTGTGTCGCAAAGCTGACTTGTCGTTTATTGTAACGACCCGCCCGATCGTATCCGACTTCAATTGAACTTGGACGTACTTACGATTTATCTCGTCTTTGGTTAACGCTCTTAAAGCAGGTCTATGCTGCTGCTTATCGCTCACAGATTGCTTCTCGCCCGAATTTTCAACAATTTTCCTTCCCGCAGTATGACTCGGCACAACCTCATTCGTGATCCGGATACTGAGATTGTTCGGTATTGTCTTCTTAATTCCTTTAGCTGGCAAATGCGCAGTATTTATATGCTTAACGGTATTCGCTGAAAGACTTTTGCCAGCAGACGTGCGAGATACGTTCAACGCTGGAGTATTTTTCGACACCACATTTTTCTTTCGAATCTCTGTTGATTGCTGAGAATCTTTCTCCGACTCTTTCAACTGAGCTTGATTTTGTATGACATTTTTATTCTCGCATGGAGATTTCAATGGCGAACTGACCACGTTAGTATTTAATAATTTACTACTATTATTATTAATGTTACTATTATTGTTATCTGCTCCTTTCTTCTGCAGTTTCAACTTTTCACGTTCTAAGATTTGTTGCTTTAAGCGACGATATTCCTCTTGCTGCGACGCAGGGAGATGCCTCACAGCCTGCAATAAGAAAAGTTACTATAACCGATTGACTTTATTTAAAAAACTTTATTTTTAAGCTCTAATAATAAATGTCAAAAAATAACAGTATTCTCGAATAATACTATTTTCAAACTAATTATTCTCACTGACTTAAATAGACAGTGTGTCGTCTTACCAATGGCGTGTGCATGTTAGATGAATTCTTGTTCGTTTGTGTTGTCAGTTTCGATCCTTGCGGAGACAAAACAGGCTTGACTACGGTTGCAGATTGTTCCTGCTCTTTTCTCATGTCGCGCAAGAACTTCTGCAAGCTCTTCTCGAAGTCGACACCGACAGCATCCTGCGCTTGTTGCTTCTCCGTGACTCCGGAAGTAGCTTTACGTTTCTCGCCTTCGGAATCGCTGTCCGTATCAGATCCCAAGCTTATAACAAAACGTTGAGTGTCTGATGCGTGCAATGTCGTTTTCGGCGCGTTAACATTAGACCACGCGTTCTCATTGGACTTTGCATTGTTGAGCTTCAGCAGATTCAACTTTCTCTGCATCATGTTTTGATATTTCTTGGCGTTGTTCACTGCTTTCGTGCTTGCCGGAATAGGCGCTTTCTTTGGCAATTTTTTCAACGGAGCCTTCACTGCAGCTGTATTGCTGTTCCTTTTTCTATTGCCAGTGAGCGATGGGACAGATGTGCTATTAACTTTCTTCGCGGCTGTTTCGGATGAACTCAACTTTAATGATAATGGAACGTTATTGCTCCCTGTACACGTTGCGTCGACAGTTACTGTAACATTTGTTGACATTTTTTGCTGTGCAGACGCCTGTATATTCGTTGGAGTGCAGCTTGTAGCAACTGGTACTGCTGAAGTACCGCAAATAATGTCTGACTTTGTTCGCTTCAAAGAAGCCAGCAAGATGGCTCGCAGCTCGTCCTCGTCTTCTTCAACGCTTTGTCTCCTGTCAACGTCTTTCGTTATATCGTCAACATTAAGTGCGCCAGAATCGAGATTATTAGACGCTGGACTTGTTAACGTATGAGATTGCGTATTTTTTTCTTCGGAATCCTCGATGGACGTTGCCTGTTTTGGTTCTTCCTCGCTTTTTACATCATTTTTTTCTACGTCTCTGTTTTCTACAATATTAAAATTAAGCGACAATGGCTCTTGAGTGACATTTTGCAAACTCAACGACTCTCCATTCTCAGCAAAATCTTCTTGCATTTCGTCACTTTTACTTTGATCCGCTTTGACGATTTCCCGTTCTAAACTAGACGCATGCCTAATATTTACATCCCTATTTACATCATTTGTACAACTTCGCACAAACTCCGCGAATAATTGTGCGGGATCAAGGCTCTTGCATTTCTTCCTAACGCGTTTCCGCTTTTTGCGCGATAAAGCAACGTCACTGCTCGCAACCGGCGTAGGCGCCGTGTCGATGACAGAATGCCCAAGTTCAGTTGTTTCTTGACTGTTAGTGGGCAATGCAGAACTTGTTTTGTCCTCCAATGCGTCATTCTCTTCACTTTCATTCATAGAGTTATCGAATGGGACGGATGTCGTTAACACAGGCGGCGGTTTTTTGGCAGGCTGCAATTTTATGGGTTTAAAGTTGCTGCCGCTCATGACAGTCGCGTTCGCTGTGACGACCACCGGTTGCATCTCTGCGCTTTTGAAAGTCGGTTCCGGATGCGTCTCACGCTTCTTCATCGCCGGCAACAATTGCTGGAGCTGTTTGTTCGACTTCAAAAGCGGCACGGGAACAAGCGTCCTATTGATTAACGTAGGTATTTTATTTACATCTTTGGTAACATCCGGCACGCCTTGCATATATAGAGGTTCTTTCAATGTTCCTCCTTCAGCGGCTTGGCAGGGTGCCGCTTCTTCAACGGGAGAACCAAATTGGCTTGTTTCTATGTCGGGAAGAACACCGACTGGTATCATCGGTTCATTCAGCGACATCGGCTCACTGTATCCCGCGGTAAACGTTGCTGGAGAATCTGTAACATACCTGTGAACGGTCTGCGTGTCATAAGCACATCTATCATCCGTATATGCTGAACCCGCATTCATAAATAACGGGCCGACAGATTGCTCCATCTGCTGCACTTTCGGAGAAGCATAAATACTGCTCGGAGAAATGGAAGCAACAGCAAGATTATGATCCTTGATTACTGGAAGAGCGTGTGACGCGTCAGGCATGTGTATGACACCCTTCGAGGAATAGCTGCCTTCCTGGCAACAAATGCCGTCTATCAAGTCGCATACAATGTTGTTGTGAGTGTCTCTGGAGATGTGGCTGACCAGTTCCGTCGATTCATTGTTCAGTTCTGAAAGGAAGGTTTCGCTGCTGTGTTGCGACGACGGATATGCGTAGAACTGCGATAGTTCGCCGTATTGATGCAAGTTATCGTAATACGACGCAGCAATAGGCAGTGACATCGGATCAGTCTGCTTGATGTCATCGAAAACTGTATTGTTCGTTTCGTTTACACTGATAAACGATACGTCGGACGGCTCGATGCCAAGCAGCTCCGTGTCGATAGGCACGTTCGACGTAATCTTGTCGGTTGGCGAATACGGCAGCTTCTCCTTTTCACGCTCAACATCCGTGTCCAGATCCATGTCCTCGGCATGGTTGCTGTCGTGTGGCGGCGTGCACGGCGGCGATGCAAACTTCAACAGCTCGTCGCTGGGCACCGGTATGTCGTCAAGGAAACTCTGGCTGAATGGGCTTTCGCTACGAGAGACTTTCTTGTTTGCTTTCATACCACGTTGAACTCTGTTCTGATGCTTCTTCACAAACGCCGACTGAAGCGCTATCATGCGCAGATTCAACGCCTCTTCGTCCTGATCGTCGTCCTTTGCGTCTGGCTTCTCCAATTCCGCGTCCGCTGGATAATCCGACAACTTGCTGAATTTCTTTTGCTTCGTCTCCAACGCCTTTTGTCGCAACAACGCCAAATCTTCGTCATCGTCGGCGTCGAGATCGATAGTCACAGAGTGAACTTTCGATTTCTCTTTAGAATGCGTCGCGTTTTTATTGCTTTTGGAAGCTTTGTTCAGCATATTCGACAGTTTTTCTTTCAGTGAAGATTGATGCTCCTTGCTCCGATTTACATTCAATTCCAATTTTACTTTTTTCAGTAACCGTGTGACATCACTGCGTTTATCGGTGTGAGAGCGAGCAGATGGCGTTGAGTCCTGCTTTGACGATCTTCTCGCTGTTTTCAAAGGTGAGTTCCGATACGGCGAGTTCCGTTTCGGCGATCTAATCCTTTGCGGAGATCTCCTGTGTATCGGCGATCTGGAACGTCGACTGTATGGAGATCGAGATAATTGAATTGGCGAACGGCTTCTCATGGGAGACTTGTGTCTTCGAACCGGTGATCTTGAAATTACTTTCGATCTGCTGTCAGCCTGCTCTCGATCTGCTCTCGATCTTCTGCGAACCGAACTTCGTTCTTTATAATGCAATTTCAGAGGACCAAACTCTGCCACAGGCAAGCCACCAGAGGATGGACTGATTAAGTCATCAATGGTAAAAGAGGATTTGCATTTCATTTTCTTTCTCTTTTTCTTTTTTACTCCTTCTTTTGACCGATTGGACGTATCCGTGAGACCAACAATCTCCATATCGCTGTCACTCGAAATAGGCACTAGGTCATCGTTCTTCTGTTGTAAAGTTGGCGCCGCATGCTTTGTCGTTATGCATTCCGCTTCTTTGACATAGAGACGGTTTTCCTTTCCTTTGACTGGATCTTATGAAATAAGATTAACTTCTACTTGATTAGAACAATACATTAATATCATTAATAATCAATTATTTTATCTTCGTTATTTATATCTATCTAATGAAGAGCATATCTTTTATAATATTCTGTAGTTATAAAACTTTTAAGAGTTTAATTAATATAAATCTTTATAAAATTCCGTATAAAATTAATAATAATAATAAATAAAAAGTAAATAAATAGCCAATATAAGAATCTCACAATTAGAATTGCTTCTATTATGCTACATATCAAGAAAATGAAATAATCTAGAAAATATATAAATATATATATATTTAGAGTCTCTTAAACAACATCAACAAAATCTATTGAAAATAAGAAACTATTTTATACGTTTTCAAAATACACATAAACAACACTATTTATACATTTCGAATGAATGATATCTAACAAATTTTACCTCTCCTGCTCTTGGAGTGATACATCGTGATGCACCAGGATAAACATTCACCCCATGACTTGCAATCAGGACATGGTCGTGTCCTGCTGATGGAATAGCTGCTGGTCAAATGACCGATTGCACCTTCCTCCGAAGAACTGACATCTTCCAATGAGATCTCACCCTCCTCCTTCTCATCGTCGAGGATGTCGATCGTCTCTGTGCAGCCACTCGACAGATCGCTTGCCATCACTTAAACTTATCCGCAAGGCAGTTATAAATTATAAGACAAAGCGATCACAACAACGTCACTAGCGACGTGTCACGACTCGCTCCTTAGGACTTGAGGTTAGTTACGCGAAAGACCGTTGAGAACAAAGAGGACACTTGTGTTCCCCTGGTAGATATCTATAGTAAAGGAAGAAAAAAACTACGGGGATTCCTGTCTACAAGATTTTGTGTTGCGCGAGGAAATTGTTTTTGTCTAACGGAAAGAATCGTCTGATACTCCAGAAGAATGCAGCACGAATTTCGATACTGCGAATTTAATAGTGCTGAATCGCGATTAATTATCGGGCGCTGTCAGCAGTGAGCAATCACAGCCTTGATTAAATACCTTGACCCCACTGTCGACAGTCCAACTGATCGACGACATTCGGGACTATGGCGGCCATACTGAATAATACCACGTTTTTATGAGCAATGAACTTTAAGCTAAGATTTTATGTATTATATGAGAAGTTTATACTGATTGGACGACTGTCGGTAAAAAGATTTTTGCGATCAAATATTCTCTATTTGAATTATAGCCAATTAGCATTACGTATGAAATGACTAGCATGACATATGAGATATTAACTTAATGTCATTTTTTACATGTCGAAATAATAGGTTAGTATTCCGTTAGACAGTAAAATATTTTTAGGTAGTATAAAATTTTACACCCCTTATGATAAAAACAAATTTCAATTGGAAGAAATATAGTATAAAATAGCAATGTAAAAAGTAAATCTGTATTGTAAATATATATTGTATGTCATAAAAATTTGTAAATAGAGAAATATATATATTTTAATAAGGATAACAATGTGTTATTTCTTATTCTATTACTTCTAACGTTTTTATATTATTTAAATTTAAAAAAGATATAAATTTACAAATATTTTAAATGAATGCGTAAAACATTTGTTAAAAACATCAAAATATACTATATAAACAATTTCACAAAAGAATTTAGTTATTTATCATACTTTTTTTGATAGGATTTCCTTTTTAAAACATTGAAATCAGGCATGACATAATTCTCAAGTAAATTTTTATCAAATATGAATCTTGCTAATGCTTGATCTCCAATACCAGATAATACAGTCACCAATCTTCCTAACTCATTAACACTCTTCATCTGATCTTCCATAAAACCAGTGATAATGAAATCACTTGCGTTTATATCACCATACTTCTCTGCTACAGTGTTTACTGCGACCAATTTTTTACTGACTTCTATTTCCAATTGTAATGCTGTCTATAGAAATTTACACAAAGAGAACATGTTAATTATTTTGATTACAGAGTTTAATTAATTATTATCAAGTGCATAGTTATCATCAAAATGTCCATCAATAAATCTTAAATTGGGGAAGCTTTCTCAATAGTTTTAAGCATTTACTTTGAATGCATGCAATGGACATTTCCAATCTTGATTGTTTGGTGGTGATACAGCGCATAACTGCGCTTTGCCACCACGCATGTTTACATAATTTAAGAATCTCAGGATATGTTCATGCTCCTCATGATGCAATTGCATAAAGAATGACTCACAGCCTGATAAAGCAACATCTACACGACCAAAATATGCAGCCTACATAAAGTACAAGATATAAAATATAATAATGGTATTATTTTATTATTATACTATCCAGATAAATATTGTATAATTACTTAAAATAATTCAAAAGACTTAATCTATTATTTCTAAAGTCTAGTTTTTCAAATATAAAATTAAAAAGGGATTATGCTGTATCTATATTTACCATGGACAGATAATAATAAAACGCTTTTAACTCCACATTTATCTGGTCGTTCATTGCAGTTTCGGTTTCATTGTGAAAATCAAAATTGCTCCTTTTTCCGCTTGGCCATTTCATAGGTTTGTCAATACACGATTCAGTAAGATCACAATCGCCATTCTTCGTCAATTTTGGCAACGTTGAATTTAATGATTTCTGTAAACTAATTGCACTGTGAATTAAAATAAATCTCACATAAAACACAAAAAATGAAATAATTTTACAATCAATTTGTAATTTCAAATTTGGTTTAAAAAGAGTAAGTTTTTGATAACAAAGTATTTTATTTTATTATTTTATGTAATTAAATATTTTATTACACTTAAAAACTTTTATTTATCAATGCAATTACCTGATATAATATAAACGTCGGGTTTGAAGATGGTATGCAATATTGAGAGATTTAAATGATTTGTAACAAGGCCTCCAAATTAATACTCGCAACATTTTTTAACGATTTTTTATATAAAGTTCCGTTTATTCATAAACTAATTTAACTAATTTGTAAGTAAATCACAATATGACATTGTCAATGATCATAAATTTAGCAAGGTTAAAATACATTGTAACAAACAGAGCTGAACAAATGCATCAATCGACATGTGACATACTAAAATAACTAAATCTAATAAAACTAATGTTCTCTGCAGATTTCGAAAAGTTTTTATTACTTAATTTTAATAGCTACAAAATGTTATTTTAATTATCAAACTTATAATCTTTATATAATTATAAGTAATTTTATTGAAGTACAGAAATACTGTAAAATCACAAATTATCATCCTATTTATTGTCTCAATCAATATTTTCTTGTAACAAAACAGTAATGAAATCATTATTGTTTTTGAAATGAGAAATTCATACACACACACACTGGTTCAATTTTACAGATTACAAGAACATTTTTCTGTAAACCCCTATCAATTATAATAAATCATAAATATGTCATTGATTTATTGAATTAGGCGAAGGATCTGATAACTGATGTGTGTTATTCGAAGGCACAGTATTTATAGAACTGATACTTTCTTGTTTTATGGTAACAGGATTGCTGTTAAGATTCATATTAATCACAGTCGTTGATGTGGGATTTTGCATATCTAATTGACTTTGTGCGATATCCTGTAGGGCAGCTTGTATTCTCTGAAGTAAAGCTTCTCCTTGTCTTACTACTTCCTCTAATTGTTCACCAGCCTGTTGATTCTCTTGTTCCAGTCGACTAAGACTGGCTACCTGAAGTTCCTGAGATGACTCCTCACTTGGTAAACTTTCTATTAATGTATCTATGTCCTTTGCACACCTTGCAATTAGATTTGCAAATAAAGCAGCATAATCTGAAACAGACATCCATGATTCATAGCTGTGTACACTTGATATTAATATGTGAAGGTTTAGTATTAATGCTTACCTTCTTGAGACTGATGGGGCTGTGGAGTTCCAATACGATCAAATCCAGGGAATTTACTAGGTGTAGAATATTGTTGTAGAATACCGACGCTGTTGCAAAAATGTTCGGCTTGCTGAAATAACAGACATTGATGTAAGCTTGATAAGATTAAAATGTAATTAGGGAAACATACATGAAAATTTGCGTTACCTGATTTATGGTATCTTGTAACTGTGTCAAACGATCTGCCATGATGCCGATTTACTAGCTAGCAATTGATTTGTGTATCTTTTATCATTTACTATTTATTATTAATTAATAAATAATAACATATTGGACTTCGGTTCTTCTCAAACAAAAAGTCTGTATCGTTTATTGAAATTTTATCTTGTTTTCAATGTTTTTAAGTACAACGTTCACACTTATCACAAAGTGTTCGGAACTTTATTTACACTTATATTTATCAAACTTTGTTTATAGACGTGAGCTAAAGCAATAGTTTCAAGAAATCACAGACGACCGTAGAAAACTGCGGAAAACCATAACCTTGTTAAAATCTGGACCAAATGGTGAACAACGTACGCTCTCTAGCGGCCAACTAAATGATGAAAAATTGGATTATCTAACAAAAGAATTTCTATGCACACATCTGTATATTTCTCAAAACTAAATTTATTTAATATCCACTTTATAGGATAGGATGTGTAATAAAAAATAAGAAATACAAGATAAAATAAAACATAAAATATGAACATATAAACATTGTTATTATATATACACAATATATAATATTTACATTGCTTATAATTGCAATCTGATTGCAATATACAGTCAATTCTATTTCATTAATAGAAGTTTAAATATAATGTAATAGTGTTCAAAAACTGACGAATAAAAAGAAAAAAAAAAACAGAAACGAAACGTTGCAAAATAACTTTAACACACGGTGATGATAGTTCGTATATTTATCTCTCAAATATTTTTCCAGATCTTAAAATTTCACTGGATCAGAGGTCTTGTGATAAAGTAGGAAGAACGCATCTTAACGTAATTTAGCATTTTCCATTGCATTTTTATAAAATGTTCACATGAAGAAATATTTACAAAAATATGAGCAGGGCGCGATGAAGTGTAGAAGACAGGAAAAAGAATGAACGATTCAGTTGAGGGTACCCCGGCATTGAGGAGCTCCGCAAAGGCAAGGGATTTTGTCGTCCTCCAACGGGAATTTATAATCATAAGTAATTTCTTCATTAACTCCTATTGGTTGTTTACTGTAGATTACAATCTTCTTTTGGCTTTCAATCGTGATTACCTTTGCGTAACAATTCGGCTAAAAGAAACAAAAATTTGATAACTATAACAAAGTACATGTTGTTCTACTTGTATTCTAAAATTAATTAGCTTTTGGACTTTGGAACAAGTTAGATTTCTATTGATTCCTTAAATCAAATTTTAATTTTTGTTAAACCTTTCTATATAAAATGGTGTTATTATGCATTTATCGCATAGCCAATTAAAGTTAAAGAAATGGATAATCTTATTGAGTAACTCACATTACAACTGTGATTTATGAACCTCGCCAAATTGCCACACTTTGTTGCATCGATAATTGTATCTAAATCGATGCGGAAGAGGTAAGAGCTACCAATTCCAGTGGCTTCGTATTGCGCCTCTCGCAGATCGGCTACGACAGGTCTAACCATTTGTCCAACATATTCAATAACCATCTCATCAGCCGCGATTGGTTCCATGGCAAACAAGCCCCAATCGTGAATGCCAGACTTAGCAAACTTCAATTGCTTTTTACGGAACTGAAATGGAAAACGTAATTTAGAATATGAATTGTTTTAGATATTAATCAACCACTGAATTGTGCATTTTACCTTTAATTGATTAAATTTAAGGAGATCACTGTCCGTGTCAATTCCGAAAGCTGTTAACAACCGGCGCTGATTGCTTCGCGCCTCACGCGATAGCGCTTGCATCTTGCCGGCCAATGCTTTAGAAATGCTCTTTGGACCATTCATTACGCCATCTCCTCCAATATATGAGCCGCTGTCCTCCACATCGTTGCTGCGTTGTATACTTTGAGCATAATGGTGCTGCAAGAACAAATTAATTATTCACAAAATTCCTAGATTTTATAATAGTAAAACACATTATATTAATCATGTTAAAACCTCGAACAATTTTCTTTTTAAATAAACACCAAATATTTAATGTTTTACTTTATGTTTTGCCACGATTTTAATAATAGGACACAATATCGCCTTGAACATTTTTTTTACAAAAATAAATAAATCAATATATCTAATTACTTTGTGTTTTGCCTTCTCTCTGATGTCAACTTTGTAATATCCTTCTGTTCGAGCGCTTCCACTCGCGTGCAGCCGGAGTTCGTCTCGTTTCCTCTTTTTCGCAGGGCTCGGTATATCCGTCGGTGGATGATCGACCCAATGCGTGTCATTTAACCAGTAACCTTGAGTGTCGTCTGCTAATAAAGCTTCGTAACTCCTTCTCAGATATTCTACATCTTCAGCGTCTATTCCCCTAGTTAAGAACTCGTATAAGATACCCATCTCTGACATTAGATCTCGCTCTTTGTATGTGACCGTCGGCTCCGGAACTGATTTAGGCAATATCTTGTCATATATATAGTCATTCCGTATATTTTCCTTCTCTCCCTCGTGATTCTGATGACTACTGTGCACCTTTGTATACTTCTTGGATTTCTGTTTCTCCACCTTGTGAATCTTATCCTTCGATTTCATCAATTTAACAATCTTCGGGTGTTTCACTTTCATTGAGGCTGGCGGTACACGTATTACCGATTCTACGGGCTCCGGTTGCGCAGGTGGCAACGAATATGAATGTTCCATATACACTTGCGAAGCCTGAGAACCAGGCGTACTCGGTGTCCGCTGCCCATTTAGTCGAAGATCTGTCTCTGCTTGATACCTGTAAAATATTACGACATTTTACAACTGGACTCCTCCAATATAAATTACAATAAAAATGTTTTCGAACGTGTAACATTATCATGTGCATGCTCATGCAAATAAAAAGTGCGCGGCGCGAGAAGAGAAATTAAGATTGACAGTTCATTAAGAATATAGAACAGCTCTATAAGAATAAATGTCAATTGTATTATTTAACGAAAATTGTTATGATTACTGACCTTAATCTCCTAATTTCTAAGCTTTCTTCCTCGGAGTCGGTCGTAGGAATTTCACTGAACATCTCGATCTTCTCATTCTCCTTCAGAATAGGCTCGTCATTGATGTATTTGGCTGACATCGTCTGTAACGCTCTGATAATATTAGGTTGCACAGGACCGGGACTCCTGTGACGTATAATGTTATCCCGTCCAGCTAATGTCATTAGAGCCTCCGCGGCCGAGTTCTCCATCTTCTGAATATCCGGTAACATTTCTTCTTTTACTAATGCTATTGGTGGCGCAGGTTTCACCTCGCTCTGTAATTCCTTTTCTTCGACGACTCTCGATACATCCTTCGTCTCCTTGTCCAAAGTTCTACACACATCAAACGGATTTTCTTCCGCGACAGACAACTTCTCCGAAATCCTTTCCTCCTCCTTGACATTCTCGTATCTCACGGAAGAAACTAATGAACTACTCAGATCATCATCAATTTGCGGGAATTCGTTCGAATTTTGATCCTTAATTTTGACATCCGGCAACGGCGTTTCTCTACCGGTCGGCGTGGGGCAATCCAACGATCTTTGAATCGCGAGTTCAGTCAATATATCAGGATCCTCACTATTGCAAGCCAAAGGCCTGTTATCGGACAGGCGACTATCTGTATCTTGCTAAAAACAAACATTTTATTCTGCATTTAGATTTTATTTCATGTGACGTATTATTTACGATTTTTCACACTTGTGCTTGCACTATATACGTACCTCGTCTTCAAAACAGGCTTCTTCGTCGGAGGTTTCATTTGAACTATCGGAAGATTCGCTGGAACTAATTTCTTCGCTACTACTTTCCAGAGATGAGGATGAAGAGGATAATGAAGAGGAAACATTCCTAAGAGATGTCATTGCTTTTTTCGTTTTTGGCGTTGGTGGTACGTCCAGATCGCTGTCGCTCTCAATTGTTTCCATGTCAGCATGCCCGGATTGTCGGCTGTCCTCATCTTGTGGCAATGGGCTTGGAGCTTTGATCTTGCGCTGTAGGAAAAAGAAACAAGCACGTAACGTCGACTGTTTTACCAAGAAAAAAAGAAGGGCGTTAAGCACGTACAATACAGATAAAAAGTTGTCTTACCCTAAATGAAGGCATCTTTGGCATACTAGCTCTAATGCCCAAACCAAATCCATCGTAATTGAGACCTAGCGGTGTCGCTTGCTCCAGTAGTGACGATAATGCCTGAGGTTTTACATCCTCTTTTACCGTATTATTGACAATGACATTCTCGCCACCACCGTGCGTTTGACTTTTCTCTGACTTCTTTTCGTCCCACCAAACCTCGAACAATTTGAATGCTGTACTTTCTATCATCTTCTTATTGAAATCCTTCTTCAGAATCTGTTTCAATTCATTCACAACTCTGCTCAACACTCCGTTGATAGTAGGACCCTAAAAATAAACGTTTTTTAAATAAAGTAATTGCTTCTTTAGCGAAAATATTTTTGGAAAAATGTGATATATTGATATAATAATAAATCTTGCCTGTGGATCTTTTGTGATACTGTAATTTGCTATAGCGTGCAACCGCGACTGAAAAGAGGAATAGTAGTTTGCTCCTTGATGATTCCCAACTGTTGCAGAAAATGATGCTGTATTAGGTTGATAATGACTCTGCAGATAAGTCGCTCCATAAGGATATGGATACTGCGCCGGTCGTGGCCAATTGTAGACGTCGTTAGAGGGATAATGAGTCAAGTGTCCTGGATAACCAGTTGCCGGATATAGTTGATTCGAGGGTTCAGTTTGTGCTACCTGTTAAGAAAATGTTTATGAATAAAGATATGCAGCATTATAATTATGTTTTATTCAAGGAAACTCACTTCTTCAATTTTCTCATCTCCTGAACTTAGAGGACTCAGGGACATTCTGTCGTCGTCAGGTGGTGGAGGCGGTGGTGGCTCCTTGGGTGGTTCTGGTTCATTGTCGTCGGGAGCAGGACTGTAACTTCCCAATAATGCCTCGTCTTCACTGGAACTTATGACACTACCCAAATCTTCATCCACAGAGAATTGATTAAGGCTATTTTCGTGAGCTTTCCTTCGTTCCTTGTTGCGTTCAACTTTTTTCTCAAAACACTGTTTATATATTTCATGCGATAAGAAGGGACTAGGTGGATCCGACAGCATGCCACTGTCTTCCTGTTGAGACTTTTTGTCATCTTCCGAATCGCTACCAAATTGTAAAAAAGGTGGTGCCATTCCACCCGCTTTGTCCTTCAGTAGCATAGCAATTCTTGTATCTAAATCCAATGTCTTGCGAGTTTCGTCAGGAGAATCACGCAACGTACTTTTTGCCACAGTTTGATTCTCCTTTTCCTTCTTAGGAGTATGATGCGTTTTCGTATTGGCAGTCTTATTACTAATCTGCGTTGCGTTGGAACTAGCACTGTCCAAATTTGTTGCATGTTGTTGAACAGGCCAAACGGAAGCCGATGATGGATACCCCGTCGCCGTCCCTGAATTATTGCCCCACCATACATTGGAATTTTGTTGAATCTGTGATACATTCTGCGATATGCTAGCTAAGTAGCTATTTGGAGGTTGGTGATGATAACCACTGTAATAAAAGTCGTAATTCGTAGCTGGAGTAGAATTCTGAGAATAATTACTAGAATAATTCAGTTCACTGGGCGCTGTTCCATAACCCAAATCACTACTTGTACTGCCGCTTGGTGTAGGATAATCTCTGTACTTGTTGTACCTCGAATTTTCTATATATGGTTCTCTGTTCTTATCTAAATTTAAAATAGCCTTTTTACTATTTCTAAAGTCATCCCTTTCTTCGGGCAAAACCTTTTCCACGGGTGTCTGATGTTTCTCTGGCTCAGGTTCAGGTTTTATCACTTCTTTTTCTACTTTCTTCTCCGGTTTCTTCTCTGTGGTTAACTCCTCAAACATCTTTTTGCATTCTTCCCCAAAGGGGTCCAGAAAAACCCTTAGCACTTTCCCCATCACAGATGTATTGTTTAATTTCTCTACACATACCTTTGATGCCTTGGTCGATTCAAACACTACTCTTCCTATACCAAGATGTTTATTAGTCATTGGATGATAATAAATAATAAGTTCTTCTATGGATCCAAATTTCTGAACCATGTTTGTTAAAAATGTCTTATCAATATTGTCATTTAAATGGCAAAATGTTACTTCCAGCGGCGGAGGTTCTCCGCAATAATTAGAATCAATTTTAAATCTAGGTACAGGTAAGTCAAGTTGTTCAAGTCTAGTCCAGATCCTTGTCAGCTGTGATCTAGGATCTCGAGGTTGAACCTGTGGATACGTTGGATCCCCTGGTACCATCCCATCATATCTACACAGTTTTGTAGCTCCTTTCACTAAAAATGGATCAACCAGTAATTTATAATTTCTCTGCTTTTGAGTCGACGGTGCAGCAGGCGTAGCCGGTTCTTTCTGTGAATGCGTCATATGACTGTGGCTATGTTTCGCAGGTGGTTGAGTCGAGTTTTGTGACGTGCTTTGAGAACTGCCATGAGAATGGCGATGACGATGCGAGTGCGCATGTGAATGTCCATGTCCATGACCATGTCTCTCCATGCCGTTCATTGCCTCCAAGCATCATCCATTCATGTAAACTTCTATCACAAACATTTAACCAAATTTCAAATAATATTAATATTAGAGAATAAAGATAAAATAATTTGTGCGACTTAAAGTTTGTTTACATTTTCTGAGAAAAAAAAAGTTAAATTATGTACATCACTAGCAAATTATGTACATCTTTACAATATGAGTTTGTAAATTAGTATAACACAGTTTCTGCACATCACTGTTTAGTCACTTAAAAATTCCGCTCCCGTCACTTAAAAATAATTAACTTGAATTATAAAAATAGCGAATTCGTTGTTGAAATATTAAGTGTTCGATCTATCAGACTTTGTTACATGAACGATACTGCATGATTACATGATCAGAATGCAAAATGCGTTAATAACCACAAAATCACCACGTTATAGCTTAGCTTTACGATGCTTTACGAATATTTCTAACAATCTTTTTTTTCTCTCACTGCAAATGCACGATAGCGCTAAACATAACAATTGCGCGGAACTTTGACAACTTCGCCATAGGCTGTTGCACAAAAATGCATTCTTTCGGCGAGAATGCAAAGCAGTCCTCGCTAGTGGATCGATACGATCCCTGAATGGCGTTTATCGATACAGCATTCTTTAATCAGATTTCTAAAACGTATCCCGAGCTTACGATACGGTCTATCCGACTCCGAGTTGTTACTTGATCACGCGAGGGCAAAGAATGTCGTTCCCTCAACAACACTTAACCTCAAAAGCACTTTCCGACTTTTTTTTAGGTTGGGTTACCTATGCGACTGCGGTCCAATGAAAACATCTCCTCATCAGCGTAGGAACCTCCGTTCGATACGCCGTCGACAAACTTCCTTGATCGCAAGGTTTTGTCGAATCGGCCGAATCTTGTACACTGGTTACTGCGTGGTCCTCTGTCCTCTCCGTCGCTCTCCACCTCTCCACTTCTCTCCTCTGCCAGAACCTTTAGACCCTTATTCAGTTACGTTGCGACTTTTTTTTGCCTCTGCCAGAACGTGTAACTTTTGTAATGTCGAGTGATAATACGACGCACAGCGCGGTGAATCGCGCGTATGCACAAGTAACCAGCGTCTTACTTGCGAGCTATCGAACCGATCGTCCTCTCGATCGTTTTCTTTACTTTGTGTCCGCCGACGACTCGTGTTTCTGACGAGAAGCGTGCAGCAAAGTGCCTCTCGTTGTTGTCGCCTCGCTTACGCTCGGCGACTACACGACGCGCGCGATACTCTCGACAGGTAGCGCGAGCCAGCGCAAGTGCATGCACCCAAATGTGTCCGATCCCCCGTGTTCTTTCGCGCACGCGAAACGCACTTCGCGCATCCCCTTACGTCGAAATTCACAGGCTCGAGTCTACGGAAGGGCTATAATCACGCAGCTATTCAAAGCGATCGGTGTGTCGCAAAAACGCGTCCCCTTCTGCTTCTATCGAGTCGCGATATCACTTATTATCATTTTCCAAGCTTTCCACTGCTATCCCGGCCACGGTCATTCGGATAATTAGATAACTTATTAGACAGCTTGAATTTGTTTAACTTTTCTGTAAGGATTGTAACGTAAATTTTGATATCTCCGATACTCTAACGCGTTCACTGACGTTCATTTTCTATTCCGTAGTGCGTTTGTTCCTTGTCTATCGACGACGAATTAACGAACGGTAGCTCGAATATTGTGCACGCGTTGTAGCACTTTGCGGCTGACGCCATCGTCGGATCAGAGGAGTCATTGTAATTTCGTGAGACACGTTGCTCGCATGCCATGCAATCTTTACTCCGACAGTTCTCAATTCCTTTTCGCTTCTGTCATAAATTCTCAAACAAAGATCGGCGACCAGAAGGGTGCCTGGATTTTGTAGCCAATTCTCGGCCAAAAAGTCCGATGAGGATCTTTTTTCCTGATTTTGTCCCCGCGACATGTATGCATTGAGAGAATACCTGACAGAATACCTCCGCGGAACCGCTGGCATTGCGCACATTACGCTGATCTGTATGCAATCTGCGTGAGCGATTAAAATTGTACGACGTGCGTAATTGCTGAGAAATATGCTCGTGATGGGCGGCACGGTCCAGCGGTATTCGCTGTTGCATCGTATTGGCTCGCCGGCGAGATCCAGGAGAAAGACAGAATTACACGCTGAAAATTGTGCAGCACGCGAATATCTACGAGAAAATACGAGAAAAGATGTAATTTTTTCTGAAATAGCGCGCTTATTTCAGAGTAATTAGAGTCGCAAACAATATGCACACTTTTTCTTTCTTTCCCCATGCGTTTACGTTGCTAGGGATTATACGCAATATTAAGTTTGTTCTTTCTTTTCTCATTTCGAATTCTTTTCTTCTCTCTGTAAAACGTAAATGCAATTACACCAATTACACAAACGTAAATGCAATATCAGATCTGTTTTTCCAACTGCGTCATCTGTACTTTTTCTGTCTTCTCCTCTTTCTTGTCTCAATGCGTGAAAACCTATTTCATTTTAAGTGTACAGAGCATAATATTCTCATTTCTGGCTTTCCATTTCTGAACGCATCTAAAACTGTGAAGCTGGCATATAGCACAGCACTCGATCGATAAATCGCACTGATTGTTCTAGCTGAAGTGTGAACTTGTGATTATTGGTGGTTATATTTTACGGAAAAAGTTTTCCGTAAAATAATTGTTCAAATTGATCACCGCAATACCGAAATCTATCGGTAAAAAATGTCCAGCATACAAAACTTCTTCAAACGTTATTTGCCGGTAGTCAAGGCTGACGAGGGAGAAGAAGAAGAGTTGGTAGATCCACAGAAAGTGCTCCGTGTAAGTGACAATTATTACATAATGTTGTCTTTTTAATGGATGCAAAGCATCAGATTTTTGGAAATAAAAATATATTTGCAAAAACTCAAGTCACGTAATTATGACTTGCATACGCTTGTATTTTATGGTTTTATTAAGAAAGAAAAGAATTTTTAACCTAAAAAGAATTTTTAAAACAATATTCTCTCAGCTTATCTTAAGCGATGTTAACATAAAATTAACAGTTTTGTTAAGATGGAATAGTATATAAACTTTGATTTTGCTCCTTTCTTTATAAAAGTGATTAAGCTCAAACTACTATTACTAGTTATCTTAATTATTGATAAATTGACAATTGATGTTATTTTGTACAATTACTTTAATTCCAATTATTCTTCTTATTGCAGGAGGAATGCTCTCAACTATCAAAATGCGTCAATTTACAAGAGAAATTAAACACATGCAATGACCGTGTTAATTCAAGATCCAACACAGAGGAAACTTGTATAGAGGAACTAATTGATTATGTGCAATGCGTAGATCACTGCGTCTCAAAGACTCTATTTAGTAAACTCAAGTAATCATATTCCTTTGAAGAGCCGATTGTTCAACATGTTAAAACTTAATTTCTTGACGATTGTATATATCAATAGTTAGCAATAAAAAGTAAGTTATTACAAATAAAAATTGCATTGATGTATAGTTTCTTCATCTGTATTTCAACCCTATAAGAGAATTTTAACAAATCTTAACATAAATAGAATGTATACAATAGGATGCATAAAATATCAATGATATATAATTACACACAGACTTTTGGTTCAGTTCTGCTCTTTCTTTTTTATATAAAAAACATCGGAATGATCTTTCTATCAGTTTTCATATATAAATTCTTATTTTAACTACAAAGATTCTTTTCATTCAGTACCCAGCAGTACATCGAAGCATACATTGCATACGCGTACTGGCTTGTTTAAACCGAATTTCAAAATTGGTACATCCTGACCCGAACACTTGCTGCACAAAATTCGTCCGCAGTGTCGGCTGAAAAAGAGAATTAAAATTTATGACAATCTAGAATCAATAGAGATTAAAAATTTCATTAAAATTATTTGCTGTACCAATGATGCTTGCGCATTGTGAGAGAAAACTTTATTCCACATTCCAAGCAGCAATCTTTATCAGACCACGGCGCTTCCTGCGTTAATGAGTCTAACAGTCTATATAGTAGCTGCTTTGTTGCTACTTGATAATTGAAGATTGTAATTCCATCTTTATTCATCGAACCTAAGCATGCTCCGGCTTTCACTAATGTTCTACAGAGATTACCATTGCCTTTCATGTACGCAATCAACAACGGTGTGTTTCCATCCAAGTCTGAAATAAAAGCTTTATGTTACATACATATGATACGCATGTTTAATCAAAAGAAATTACAATAGACTTCACAATAATTTTAATTTTAATTTTTTAATTTTCTGCATACCTGCATTATTGACTGGATATTGCGACATGCATTCCAAAAATAGATCGCATATCGTTGCAGCGTTGTCCCTCGCGCATCTGGCCAATTCGTGGAGAGGATTACGGCCTTTGAGATTCACAGCTTCCGCATCAAGCGTGCATTCGGTTAGTAGTGTTCGCACCACCGACACATGACCTTCTCTTACAGCTACGTGCAACGCGTTATCGCCATCTGCGTTTACCGCATCGAAGTTAATATTGTTCTACGCAAAATAATTTATTTAATTAGATACAAGAAATATGGAGATCAAAACACTATTAGTTTCAGCATTTGGTGAACGGATTAAGCAATTGTGATTCTTACTTGCAACAGCGCAGATACAACGGTGGCATGTCCTGCTTTAGCCGCTACATGCAGCGCGGTATTCCTGTTCGCATCTGTATCGTTAACGCGAGCACCCGCCAGAATTAAACTCCGCACTAACATCTCGTTTCCAGACACAGCAGCGAGATGCAGAGGAGGCGTTTGCGTAACATCGTGTATTCTGGAATTTACGTCTACCTGAAAGAACAAAAGTAGCGAGCTGCAAATACTGATTTTATACTCGACGTATGTTGCAATCCGTGTGAATTAAATTATGTACTTGTATCGATAGTAAAAACAGGATGCTTTCCATGTCACCCTTCTGTATAGCAGTATGCAAGAAGTTTCTGCCTTTATTGTCGTATTGCTCGGCGGCTTTAGGTAACCTCTCTAGTATTGCTTGTGCGGCTTTGTTGTTGCGGACTGTCAGGGCGGTCGCGAACGGTGTCAGTCCCTTCTTATCTCTCTTGTTCAGATCTATACTCGGATGACACAACAGAAGAGAAATAATCTGCGAATGCTGATTCTGTATCGCCACGTGCACGGGAGTTTTCCCCTCCGTGTCGCGAGCGTTTACATCGGCTCCATGTTCGATGAGCGTCTGAACGACTTGTTCCAATCCCCATTGACAGCACAGATGTAACGGCGTACATTCATCTCTTGCCTCATCTCCTCCAGAACCATCCCGGACCAGGTCGTCTCGAAGCATTTAAATCACATCCACTGCAATATAAATCATATTTTAAATAATTTTTTTCCTCCACGATAAATTAAGTAACATTATTATTAAAAACAAAATTTACAATTACCTGCAAATAACGCTTGTTTCTGATATAATTATTTTATTTATTAAAATAACATTCATTCTTCATTTTTTTCGACTAAAAGAACGTACATATATACCTTCTGATTAGAAATTGTGCAACGTCCTCCTTGTTATCGTCGATGGCTCTGTGCAGCAGCGTTTGTTGACAGCCATCAGGACCAGGGCCCCAACAATCGGTGTCCGCTCCGTGTTTTACCAAGATTGATGCTGTATCTTCTTGGTCCGAATCCAAAGCGTCCCACAACGGGCATCCTATTGAAGTATCTACACCCCGTCTGCAAAGAGCTTCCACCACTTCGCCTAGTCTACAATGGACGCACAGTTGCAGCGGCGTTTCTCCATTAGCTGTTCTGCACACACAAAAATATGAATATTAATTATAAATGTGCGATTGCAGTTACAAATAAGTTCTTATAAGTCTAAACGCATTATGAAACTTACTTTGCATTCATGTCAGCGCCGTTTTCTAAAAGAAATATGGCCGTAGCTGAATCCTCCTTCAGTATCGCTTGATGTAACAATGTTAAGCCTTCCTTGTTACGCTCATTTACATCAGCTCCAGCTTTTATTAAAGCCAATACGATTTCTTTGCCTTTTTTGAACGGCGCCTTTATAGCTAAGCTCAAAGGCGTCTCATTCACATTGTTCTTAATAGTTAATTGCGAATTCAAGCTGGGAGCCTCCAGTAATTCGATGACTATGTCGGTGTAGAGATTCGAAATGGCAAAATGAATCGGTGCGTCGCCAGTGGAAAAGGTGACGACATCGGTCGACAATCCATTCTTTAAGAGAGCTCGAGTCAAATCTGTCAAGCCCACTTTGCACGCTTCGTGCAGTATCGTGAAACCCTCGTTGTTGGTTGTCGACAAATTATTCTTACAATGTTCAACTAAAAATAACGCCGCCTCTTCTCTGCGTTCTCGTGTCAAAACGTGAAGCAGAGTGTCTCCGATGGTGTAAGTCGGATTCGGTATGGCGCCCTTAGCCAATAGTTTCGATGCAAAATACTCGTTGAAGGGGTCCGTCTTCATCGCAAAGCACAACGGTGTTTCATCTTCGTTTGTGATTTGATCTAAATCTATAAATTTCGCCTCCAGTAACAAATCGAACAGCATCTGGTTTCTCTCCGAGATACAACTGTGAAGTGCAGTCCTGTAAAAAATAAATAGCGTAGAATATAAGGAATTATAAGCAAAATTATATGGATAATTATTTTTTTTAATTATAACAAAGCTCCAGATTTTATTCTAAATAATTTAGCTCTTACATTAATTGGAATATAAGTAAATTTTGGAGTTTTAAATTAATGGAATATACAAATTTACCATCCTCTACGATCTTGTAAATTCGGATCAATCCCCGCTTGAAGTAATCTTGATCCAACTGCTACCATGTTTTCTGTATTATGCTTCGCCACTAGATGTAGGGCAGTACTGCCTTCCAGCTGTTTAAGATCTGCTGCATTTTTCGCACCCTCGATAATCCTTACAGCCTCGCATAATTTCTGCGCCCCGCCGTTGTTTTCCAGCTGATCAATTATGAATTCAGACGAATAAGAATCCCCTTTCAGAATGGCCGAATGAAGGAGAGAAAGACCTCTTGCATCCTTTGCACCCAAGTCCGCTCCATGTTCAACCAAAGTGCGAGCCAGAGATGGTTGACGAGTTTTCAGAGCAACTTCTAGAGCCGTTTCTCCTTTGTGGTCTATTGCATTGACTGCCTTGGGAAGCTGTACAATCACAATGTCATCATTGAAAAATAAGAGATACCAAAATGTTATGAAATAGCATTGCAGAATTTATACAAAAAATTCATTAAAATTAATTTTAAAATTATTTTGTTGAAAAATATAATTTTATTACTTGCAACTGCATTCTATTATAAAAATAAAAAACGTATTATATGTTTTATAATATAAATTCACGTATTATAAGATATGATATCATTAACCACACAGTACAATAATAGCAAAAAATATTTAAAAAGTGAAATAAAATATGTAGCTTGTCTTACTCGCTAATTAAAATGCATGAGAAACTAATCGCTAAGATTTGTTTGAGAGCCACTGCTATCAGCATGGTATGATGAACCGCAATACATGCATCTGTGTGCGTATATGCGTGCACGCAGCTGCCGTAGTGGCTGAACCGTTGGAATGACATGAGTAACATCAACCAGTGTGAAAAAGCGTTTATAGAGGAAGTATGGAGATTATTTTCTGATATACGCGGTGGACAAGGGGTATTAAAGAACGACTAAGGCAGATGACGTGGCTCGCGATACGCCCATCGACTACCATCGACGAGTCACTCCATGTACTTCCACGTGAGAAGGATTTGACAGCAACGTGAATATTGTGTTCATCGTAAAATATTTGTTATTACAATGCGTTGCACGGCGCAGGCGGACGGTGTAACATTGTGATAGGTGCGCATGATTATGTTACTTTATTTGGTAAACGGAATGTACGAGGATGTTGAGGTTGATATAAAGTTGAGTGTGTTATGATAGTACTTAAGAAAATAATGAGACCGGAAAATCTGATTTAGAAACTTCCTATAGATATAGAGGGCTTCAGTAGTGAAATCTAGCAGTTTTTAATAAATGTCAAACAAAACAGCATAGAGTTTTTACCTGCAATAAAGAGCAAAAATAAAAAAAAAACTTGTCACTTGTAATTAACTGACAGTGAAGAGTGTTTTATATATAAGAAAATTTTAATTATTTATATAGAACTTCTTTTATCGAAAATACTATAACAAAGGTAATGTGAATAAAATTCTAAGAAACCTTTTTAGCGAAGATTTAGCCAAAGAGTTTATCTATATTTTGTGCATGATAAAGTTATTTAGATAAATTATTTATATAGATTTTTTTGACAGTTAAATAATTTGTGAAATTTTAAAAAGAATAAGTACTTTACATTAAGCATTAATTTTAAACACTTTTTCAGATTTTATTGTTACTGCCGAAATAAATTAAAGGAAGAAATATTTCGTTGTTGATTTGATTAATAATTATTCCTTGATGGGCTTTGAATAATATTGTGAATAAAATGTGTAACTTTATACCAAATCTACAAATTATAACATTATGTATCAGTATTCTATCATGTACGTTTTGTTCCTATTTTATAGTAATATTTAATTAAAAAGTGAATAAAGTAGGAAAATAATATTTTGGGTTTTGTAGACGTTTCCAGAGCACAGGCAGAAGGTATTTCATGTTTCAAATGTCTCACGTCACTTACAAAGCCAGAAGACACTGATCTTCTCTGTTCTCATTTTGATGGAAGTGCAAAATTTCAAACATTTTGTCCAACTTCAACACTTTGCATGAAAAGAACTATTCAATATAAGTCCAAAAGTAAATGAACAATAATTATGAAGTGTAATCATTAAAAATGACGATGTAATTATTTATTCAAATATTCTTTTCAGCATCTGTAGTGACTACTGTTCAAAGAGACTGTGCACCACAAAAATATACCTCGCATAATTATAATGAGAATGACAAGCAGTGGTATAAAACAGAAGAAGTAATAGAAACTGCTTATAAGGAAGGCTGTTTTATCGGTGAACACAGAGGAGCACCGACTAGTCCACCCGAATATTGTTTCTGTGGTTATCATTTATGCAATTTGTCTTCCCCGCAAATTGGAATGTTTAGCAAAGTATATGGACCGATAACAGCATTGCTGATTATGAGAATGTTGTAAAACTTTTCAATTTGTGACATGCAATGTGTTACTTAAAAAAAAAGTGTCATGTATAAGATACACAAATGTTTTCCTAATATTTTATTTACTGCCTTTAAGCAATGCAAAAATGATAAATGCAGTTGTAACTATTTAAAAGATAAAAGCTGTTATTTATCTCAAATGTTCACAAAAAAGTGTACTTGGTGCATGCAAGTACTTAATATTCAAGTTTGTATTGTAAATATGTAAATTATGATACATTTAATATATATTTAATAACAACAAATTGCAACACTGAATCTCTGCACATTGATATTAAAGTATTTTCATACTATATTCACGTACAAAATTATGTACATCTCATCATGTATCACAATAATAAATTAAAGTCAATAAAATTCTTTAATACATATTATACCATATTTAATTTTCTAATTATAATAAAAAATAACTCACCTCAGCGTTATTTTCCACTAAGTACAGAAACACGACGTCCTCTCGCATCAAACGTACTGCTGCATGCAAAGGATTTTTACTTTTAGTTTGCAATAATTTGTACAAAAGTGAACCTGGCATCTCTTTGAAATCTTCACCCGTTAAATCTTCCTGTATACATACAAACATTTCCAATATAATAAAATGTTATAACAATTGCAATATTATAACAATATATTATTATAACAAATGTCATTGTTGTTATCTTACCCAATGTGCTGAAATTAAAGAACTGCAATGTTCTTTCAATTTCGTAGTACCCAATTCTTCAGCTGCTGCATATAACTCCACACAATCTTTCAATCCTACTATGCCAATTAGATACCTCTCGCAGTGATCTACCAATTCTGACAGCTGAAAGCCAGCTGCTGCTTTCATTAGATCTAATGTTAACTTTTCTTGAGATACTTTGCCCGTATAAATCCATTTTATCAGTACTAATGCAACAGCGCTATTTAAATTGCTCCAATCTAAAAATAATTATAATAAATGTAATAATATTAAAATAATTAATATATTTTATATATATATAATAAAATTTTATACACATAATTACCTAAAACAGCTTTTCAACAAGAGCTGCATCACTGAAGAAATCAGTTCTAGCAGACAA